CGAATGCCTTTCTAAAGCAAAGTGTTAAATAGCAAGCATTTAAGTGTTAAATAATCGTGAATCGGTTGTCATCAAAGTGTGGAGCTTCGCTTACGACAGGGAGGTACAGAGAGAAGGCGTCAACATCGATTAATTAAAGGGTAATACAGCCACTTGGATTTCACGAGACCGATCGCAAAAGTGCGCTTAGCTTCGAAAACGAGTTTGACCTACTATACTTTTATATTGGGCTGACATGAATTATCCACGAGACGAAATTGCATGAAAAAGAGGCTGATTTCGCGTGAGAGTCCGCCACGCTTACGCAGCTCTCGTGGAAAGAAAGTTGCGCTCTTAAGGCTAAAGGTACTCACCGTTTGTTATACGCGTAATCTGCCATAAGAGAAGCATCCTCTACGATACAGTGTCGCGTGCATCAAGGTGAAAGTCGAATTGGAAAATATCGTGTGTAACGAGTCGTACTTGTTGCTAGGAACGGGTATCGTGCAGCCAACGATTAAAATTTAATCGACCGTAAGAAGTGTTCGACAGCTGTTCTAATTACTCCATCACCGCATTCTTTGCTTTGGTTAGGAAAATTAGATTGACGGGTTTATTACTCTTTGTGGCGATGCACCATTAACGGCTTTTTAGTGTATAGACGTGCTTTTCTAGAGAGAAAATAGCGGCGCAAGAGAAATTTTCAAGTTTCCAAATGTAGGAAATTGGAAATTTAGATAATTGTACATTTACTGGGTTTCGAATTTAGAAACTTAAGAATTTGGATATTTTTACAAGTTACAATGTTTCGAATTTGGAAAGGAATTTAGGTATTTTTACAATTTACAGTGTTTCGAATTTAAAAACGTGGGAATTCGAATATTTATACGTTCACAATTTCCAGCTTCATAAATTACAATATTTATGTATATCTGACTGTTACATAACAAAAAAAAACTCTAGACATCCTTCAAAAAACTTTTCTAAAAACCGTGAGAGGTTACCAAACAAAACCAAAGTTGCAAACGTGAATCGTTCATCTTCGAAAGGACATTTCTCTGTTTTGAATCTACAGACCGACGAGAGAGACTACCCAAGCACTCCAGGTTTGCAGAATTGCAGATCCTAAATCCTGTAACGCTTAAACGTGGATTGTGCCTTAAAACGAGCGCTTTCAGTCTCTGAGAACAAAATAATGTGCGAAAAGTGAACGGATACGAAAGCTAACCTTGCTTGTTATCTCCCTGGCAGAATAGAACGAACAATAAATCTTCCGTTCGGAAATCTGCATAACCATTGAATCAGCATGGATAAAGTTCTTAATCTAGCGCAGAAGGTGACGAGGTTTTTAATAAAAAAAACGTACGGCGGAAAATCCAGCTTTGGAATGAATACCGAACCCATAAATCCTGGCTGAGCCCTGAAATAGTCGGAGACATAGACCTGGTATCGGTCAGCTAGATCAGTAAAAGCGTATTGCAATACCGTTTCTGATGGGTCCCCCTTGGTTCGTTGACCATGACTACTTTACGTTTCGTTGCAAACCGCTTTACCCTTTCACCGTTCAATACTAACACAGTTTTTCTACGACATGTAGCTACCACACACGGTTAACGACTCCTGCCCACATACACATAATGTTTGCTCGCGTGATATTTCATGCGTTACCATCGGTGTCCGAGTGAGCTCAATGGCAAATACCAAAGGAATTACGAGATCGTTTTGCCCTCCTTTTTACTTGGCGTCAATAAAAAATTGTCTGGTTAACTAACCTGTTATAATTACACGTGACTCTACGTTAGTTTAGGTATTTCATTTGTGTATGATTAGAGTTCGAGGATGGTGATTGGTATTGTTACTTGTATATGTTAATACTTGTTTTGCTGTTATTGTTAATTGCTCCACTGTCGTGTTGGCTTCCACTGTTGATGTATTGCTGTTTTTACTATCAGTGTTGCTGTTGTTTCTATTGTCAGTGTGGTGTTGATGTCATTTTCCTTGTTAGTGTTATTTCTTCTCTTGGTATTGATGTTATTACCCTTTCTGGTATTATTATTACTGTCACTATCACTTTCTAGTTTTACTGTATTATTATTACTGTCACTATCACTTTTTACTATTACTGTATTACTATCACCATCACTGTCACTCTCCAGTATTGCTGTATTACTCTTACTAACATTATCACTTCCAATATTATTACTATTAATATCATTACTATTGCTATCTCTTCCATTACTAGTGTATTGTTATTGTTATCATTTCAACTATCAGTATTCTTTTTTCATATCTGTATTACTTTTACTACTCTTTACAATATTACTGTATTACTATTACGATCCCTACTATTATTATTGTTGCTACCATATATTATCACTGTTATTGCTACAGTTATTATTATTTCATTGTACCATAAATTACTGATTTCGAAACGTAGAAGTATGACACAAGTATTAAAAGTTCTGTAAAATGGCACTTATAGTTTTATTAATTCAGAGTGCAGTGTTTGACAAAAATTACTGTATTAGCAACTAATATTCTTAACAAAAGTTATTTAAGTTTTATTTGAAGCAAACAGTGATGTATTTCAAGACATGAAGTCTGACATAATTTAATCATATAAGTAACACGAAAATCTACTACATGAAAATTAAAAAATTAAGATCTAAGTGACTAAATCTTGCAGATAAAAATAACTGTTTATAGATTAATATTTTTGACATAAAATAACTTTCAATAAACATTAAATTTTTTGATATAAAATAAGTTTAAATAATAGCATATGACACATTTCAAAACACATAAAGTCTAACATAATTTAATGAAATAAACACGAAATACAACTTGTATTATCAAAATATAAAGCTTAAAATTAAGAGCACATTTCAATCACATCTTTATATAAATATAGCTTGAATATTCTTAACATGTACAAAATAAGAGAGAAAATCAATCATTATAAGAAACAAAAACGAATCAATGTACAGTTTAATTATTATCCACTACTAAATATTCAATTTACAGTTAAAAATGTTGACATCAGAAAGTGATAGTAGTGTTTCTGATTTCTTACACGATGAATTTTTTTTTAAATAAACAAGTTGATATGTATCTTGGGTATTATTTAGATAATACACCACTGTATACCTATTCTACTCCGTAAATTGAAAACAGGATATCCATTAATGGGCATTTACTGTTTCCTTCAACGGAAGACTAACATTTTGTATCAAGAATATCGATGAAACGTTTATATAGTTATTTTCATTAATATTTGAACTGCAAGTTGATATGCCATAGGAAACGTTATACGAAGCTTTTATGACATCGAATTGTGTCAGACTATCTATGCTTCAAAATCTGTAATTTTATATGTCACAAACTGATACTCTTGCTTTTATTATCTGGATATAATGTTGTTAACGTCGCTTTTATTATCGACATACTGTCACTGTCACTACCAATAACATTATTATTCTTATCATTGGTGTATTTATCAGTATTGCTGTCACAATCGCTACAACTATAAATATTACTGACACTATCGCTACAAGTATCAATATTACTGTCACTATCGCTACAACTATCAATGTTAAAATTAATATCGCTACCACTATTAATATTAATGTCACTGTCGCTGCCATTAACAATATTACTGTCACTATCACTACAAGTATCAATATTACTGACACTATCGCTACGACTACAAGTATTAAAATTAATATGGCTACCACTATCAATATTAAAATTAATATTGCTACCACTATCAATATTAATATCACTGTCGCTGCCACTAACAATATCACTGTTATTATCGGTGTATCTATCAATATTATTGTCACTACCGCTATAACTATTAATAACGCTGACTCAATCGCTACAAATATCAATATTAAAGTTAATATCCCTTTCACTATCAATATTACTGTCACTGTCGCTACCATTAACAATATTACTGTTACTATCGATGTATCTATCAATATTACTGTCACTATCGCTACAACTATCAATATCACTGTCGCTACTGTTATATTCTATCATTACTGCAATTATTACGTTTCGTTCCATTACTGTAAAATAAGCTGCACTTAAATTCGAAACTAATTTAATATGTAACAACATTATGGAGACCACAGACAATCAATATACACCGTCAACATTTCAGTATTCTAACCACTAATACGAAATATTAATATAATATTGTTACTGTCCCATTGTTATGTATAAATATTCAGGACAGTGAAATATTGACTCTGTATATTGATCGTTTGCTCTCCATTACTGCAACTGATCACCAGCCATTTTCTTCTGTGAGAACAAAACCTTAATTGAAAACATAAATCAATATTAACAAAACCTTAACTGAACACGTCGATTAAGAACTTTAACAAAACAACTGATCATGTAAGAACATCGGCAAAACCTTTACTGAGTACGGTAATTAATAAAATTAACAAAAGCTGAACTTGGTATATCAAGAATATTAACAGAAACTTAGTACATCAATTCAGAACTTTAACAAGACCCTAATTAAGATTAACAAAACAGTAACTGAATACAATTAAAATCATTAACAACCTTAACTGAATACAGTAGTTGGAAGCATTAACAAAACTTTAACCAAATAATCAACGACATTAACAAAACCATGTAAACACCCTCCAAGCTTCAACTAGACCATATCGCGATACTTCAGCGTCACGAATCATGCAACAAACTGCGGATGTTCATGCAATATCAGTTTATTTTCCCATTTCATAGTTTTCGCATCCAAAATGTGGTGTATCGATTTTTTCTACCTATAACCAGTTTGCGTGAATATCCGCAGTGAACTAATAACTCTAGTTACAATCTGCCACAGAACACACGACTGTTATCGTCAATATTGAAACGTGTTAATCAAAGTGTTTCCATTATTCTATTGAACCATTGGTCGCTTACATTTCGACTATCATTATTTACGTACAACACTCGGCGGTCATCAGTGTCCCCGTCATCAAATCAGTGAAATGTTGCTTCAGAGATGGCGAAGCCCGTGCAACCAGCGGTTCTGCACGAAAACGGTCGGGGCGAGCAGCCCGATGAACGGGACAATGAAATCGTCATCGAGCTGGATCGAGAAAATCAGTACGGTCGTACGCAGCCACGAGCTAACGAGCCTCAAGGTAATCATTTGCCCAATAATCCAGACGGTTTACCCACAAATATCGTCTTCATCTTCTCTCACCTCACCGTCGTCACACAGAGACACACACACACCAGCACACCCTCCTGTCATCCATTTTTGTCGCACAAGGATAGTGTGTTCCAACGTGGTTCTCATCACAGCTTTTTCCTTGTATATGTATACGATGTGTCCTAACTTGGTAACACCTTGTTTGTAACTAGCTGCACTATTCGTCCGTGTTCCCTTAGTCTCGAAAGTAAAGAAACGGCCAGAGTAGAAAGCTTCGGACGTGGTTCCCTAACTTTACGACAAGCCTGGAATCACCGAATACCCGCAAATGTACGATTAAATCATCGAACACGATATCCGACAGCGAAGTCGGACTTCGATGAGAATACAGGGATAAATTCCCGATCCTACTTTGAACACGCTAGGACACCTTACCGATGAACCCAGCAGGTGAACCCTTCCTGAATACACCAACACACTGTCACACGGTCTTCGTATCCAGAACCAATCCCATCCAATCAAGAAGCAATGAGTCCGTCGTATGCTGTGTTTAGGTCTCGTGCTCACTCAGCTTTCATTTCAGACGTGATCGCTACACCGGTGGTGTACTCGGCCCAGACGTTGACCGGTGCGCTGATAGGAACCTGCTTCTTCTCTCTGGTGGCCGGATTCGCTTCCGGTTTCTGGTTCTCGCAGAGGTTACGAGGTGCCCCTTACCCGGAGCCGTCCGAGCAACGTCAACAGCTGAATCGACTGACCGAGAGCTCCGAGTCCCCGGGCTTCAACAACAAGTCCATCAACCTGGTGTTGAACGTGCCTCCTAAGAACCCTAACGGGAAGAACGCAAACTCCTCGGCGGAGAACAAGCCGGTGCAGAAGGTGAAGAAGACGTACATATGATATAGACGACGACATAGGGCCGTCTGAGGCTTGCCGCAGGACCCAACGGGTTCCGGCTCATCTTCTTCTTCCTCTTCCTCCGACCTCGCGGAATCAGACGATCGTAACGACGAAGACGACGACGACGACGATAACGTCCGCCATGATCAGAATCAACTGGCGTTAAACCACGCCGGTTGCGTCTTCGATCAGCTGACCAGGCACGACGAAAACCCGTACGAGAGCGTGGCCAGCGAGGGGAGATCTCTCGAGTTCCTCGCCACTTCCAGAGAGACCCCTTGCGACTCGCGTTCGATGTCGAAGGTCGTCGATTACAGAAGAAGATACGACCACCTCCAGGAAGGAGGCTACACCGAGACGACCTTGACCGAGCCGGTCAACAGCCTTCAGGATTACAGCAGCAGCAGCGCCAACAGTCTGGACGATCTTTGTCGAGGACATCAGCGGATGCTGGGAGACTTTGATCGTACGGAGAGCACCGGCAACCGCGATCACTATATGGTGCCCACCCGTGACCCACGGGAGTTCAACGAGAGGATCCTGTCACTGTTCAACCCGCAGTTTCTACCTAACTTCAACGACATGATCATGTACGTGACCAGCCAGTACGATACCAGACGCAGTCCTCCGCCTAGGTCCAGGTCGATGGCCGAGGGAGAGGATCGATTGTTCAGAAACTCGAGTTACTACCGGAAGAAACGCGTGGTCGGGGCTGGCTCGATGTTCTTCCGGCGTGGATTGACGTACGAAGCGGCGCGCAAGTGACATAGGCTGTCTCTGTTCGGATTCAAACGGAGGATTCAGCGTTGGGTGGATCGCGTGAAACGCAAACGACTCCAGGCCGGGAATATCGAAGACGGGGACGTCGGGTGCGTGAAGATCTACCGAACTTGATTTCGATGAGATGTAGTTGTACTCGTGGCGCGTCCGCGGACCGCCCACGTGCTTCCGGTGCCACGTGTCGTATCGTATGATGTTAGCTAAACTACGTGAACAGAGACACACGCGCGCTTTCGAACTATTTTTTTAAGGTGTATATCCTTTTCGGACAGTCCGGCGAGATTGCGTGATCAGGACGCTCGATGATCTTGTGCTAGAAGAAGTTTTCTATCGGAATTCGATCGTTTTTCGAGTTCTTCCTTTCCGTTTCTCAGCAGTACGGCAATGGAGAGATTATATTATGGGACATAAACAACGACGATGGGACAGAGGATCGGACTCGTAGCTGTGTAATGTGATACGATCAGAGGAGACTGTGTTCGTAGCAGTGGCCTGCTTAGGTGCTTAGGACCGCGATGATTTAAACACGAAGACGTATGGTCACCGCCAAGGTATAGCGTGGTCGTAAACGTCAGCGGTTTGTATGCTGAAACGTGTTTTATGAACATCGAAAGCTTCTACTTGATGCTTCTCGTATTTCAAGAACACTTGAGCGGGAACCCAACACGTGTTTTTTAACGATCGACCAGATTTACGACCACGCTTTATTTTGACGGGAACCATAGCATCCTGGATGTCGAGGCTACGTTTCTTCAATCAGAATTTTGCGGTAAACGGCAAATGATGGAAAGGTTCAGATTCAATGCGGATTTTGTCATGAACGTTTATATTAATATTAAAGAACTATGCGTATATTTTCATGAAACTTCAAGGTTTAATGTATATTTGTGCATATTTATGATCGTCTCAATTTGAAATTGGAATTTTAAAACATATTATCATGTTATGTAGCTGACAAATTTTGTGTGGAATTAAAAGAATGCTTATGGAGTTGTTTTTATGAAGGTTTAAGCTTCAAAATGATGAAACATATGCACCATTTTGAAATACTTTTCTATCATGAAACTTTCTTAGACATTTCAAAATTGTCATTTTAAAATGTAACATAATTTTGTACAGTTGACAAATTTTGTGTTGTTCATAAGCTCACAAAGCGCTACAATTATTTTCTTCAAGGTTTAAATTCTAAATTGATATAAGTTTGAGATACTTTCTTGTCATTTCTCCTAAACTTTTCAAATTGTCAAATTGTTATTTTAGAACACCAATTTTTGAACTTTACAGAATTTGTATTGCAAATATCCACAAAGTGGTTGGCCAGTTATATTTGTAAAAGTGTAAACTTTAAATTAATACATAAGTACTATTTTGAAATAATTTGTGTCGCAAAAATGTCGTAGACTTTTTACATTTCGAAATTGGCCATTGATTACATCGATCGGATACAGAAACCAGTGCTAAATAATATGGTTCACTAAGCAGACACAATCGAAAGGATTAAAATGGATCGTGAGGAAGGATTTCAACACATTTTGAGAAACGTGGCCTCGGGAAAATGGAGGCTAGAAGCATTCGCGCGAGACGAGGCGTGCCTTCCGTATATTAATTGTTGGCAAATTTCTGATCTTGTAAAACAGGAAATTGGGGGAGAATGTGGCCGGTATAGATTCGGGCAAGTGCCTCATTTAATGCGTTTCGTTTAAACTGTATTCGATAGAAGAGAACGATGCTAGGTAACGATGTAGAGCGAGCGAAAGAGATAGAGCGAGTGAGTATGAGAGAAACAAAAGACTAATGTAAGACTTATTCGAGTATTGTTGTGCACTTATTGCCGTGCTGTGAGTATATATTGGTTATTAGCAAGAGAGAGAAAGAGAATTTGTGGTGTTGAAGCACGTACGATTTATTAAATAATGGAGAAACAATTTACCGCGTTGTGGTGTCTTCGAGGAGAGTATGTATTTTTTGGCTGGGGGACGCGTTAAATCGATATATAACTGTTTGGCGGTGTTACGGGCGAGGTGTGGAGGTGGTTTTTCCGTTTCTTTCATCTCTTTTTCTAATGTAAACGAACAAATTGCGTCGCTGTTGAATCGCTCGAATGCTGAAACTGTTTTTCGCTCGTTGCGTCAACTAAGGTAACAATGGAAGGAGTCTTTGTTATAAAGATTGATAAGAAAACGTAGTACAAAAACGCGGGAGATATTATGTCTTACTTTTTCCCCGGGGAAAGTATTATTTAACAAATACAACTGCATTTCTACGATTCAATCGTGCACAGAATACTCATGTAGAAATATATAACAAAGGTTCCATCAAAGAGCAAACGAGACAGTTTTAATCGAATAAACAGTATTCCAGCGATTCGTTTCGCTTGAATATTTCTTAGAGTTTGTACCGTATGTTAATACCCGACACATTAGCGAAAACTTGATGGCAGTTCCCTGTGACATAAGTATTCTCGAAGAAGCTCGGTCGTGAGAGGAGAATATGCGAATGGGGTCTTAGCGTGTTTGGCAAAGATGCCTTTGACAATGGCGTAAATCGGTCTTACTAGCGTACAATAGCGAATACCTGGGCGTGTATTTCCTTTACAGCTTAACCGCGGATAGAGTGCCTGCAAGTAGCGGTATGGCTAACGTTTGTCCCAGATTTCACGAAAAAAATCGACACAGAGAACAAAGGGAAATGTAGATCGAGTATCGTGACCGTGATACGTCGTGAGGAGGAATCAAATTTCATTCTGTAAAATACTTAATCGACTTGAAAACCTTTCGCTGATGAGATCACATTGTGAGAAGCGATTTCTGTCTACTACAGGGTGGTTCAAAAAGAATGTCACTACTTTTCTTTCTAATATGTATTTAATTTTAATTCTTTTAATTCGTTTATGGGTTCTACATTTGTGAACGACTCTGTATGTTTATAAAGTAAGAGTGATGGACAACTACATTCCCAAGGATAAGTTGTGTAGACATACAGTAAAAATACCTAATAAGTTTCTTAGTTTTTCATTTTCTAAATTTCTACATTTGAAAGTTTGGAGATTTGGTATTTTAAAAATTGGAAAGTTTAACAGCTTTTAATTTCTATACTGAGATTTGTGAATCTCCACTTTGCAAGTTCCAAGTTTGTAAATTTTTAAATTAGATATTTCTATATGTATGAATCTAAATTTTTAAATTTGAAATCTGAGAAGAAGGTGACATTGATCTTGTTCTACATTTCATTGTTACACTGTACAGGTTAATGCCCATAAGCTGTTTAGCGGGTACTTGATTTGTCCATCACTGTAGCGTATTATACACAGGTATCCATTACGAAACTATTTCTGGGAGCTAAAAGCGATTTTATACCACCGTTTCCGTCTACGGTCGTTGACAATGACTGTAATTAACCGCCAGAACTGTGTTCGCTGGAAGATGAAATTGTTTCGTTTAGTAAACTGTGTAACAAGCAAAACCACAGGGAAGCATTTCGCAAATAGCAGCGAAAGGATTAATTAGGACCTTTGTTCTCTTTTCGCGTAACATCGATGGACAGACGTTCAACTGCTCATCAACCAACACTGCCGCCCCAAATTCTAACGTGCTTTTCGAACGAAGAACAGTAAGACGAGTTTAATAATACATAGACACATCGATTTTCACTAATTGTCATTGAGCGTACAATGAGAAGCGGACAATACACGAGGGTTAGATCGGTTGAAATAAAGAGGAAGCGTAGTATTATTATTATTATATAGAAATGACCATTAAGAGGAGGCACGGTCTGAAAGGGACGAGCATAGATGGTCCGGAAGAAATGATAAAGAAAAGAGAATCGTGTAAATAAGTAGAAATTGTTTTTGTTTAATCATTGATATCATTTAAACGAGAATTCATTCGTTACACGCTACTCGTCACGCGAACAGCAGTGGAACGCATATTAATTAATATTTACACATACGCGTGTGTATTTTGCTTATGAACATTTGTACCACTTTGTATGACATGCTAAAATTATCGGAAATATCCAATGAATGTATTAAATTGATGCATATCGAGCGATGGGAAATTAGGAATTATGAGCTGTAAACTCGATGCATTGTTTGATTCAACATAAAATCAATCGTATTGTGTTAAGAATAAATTTGTATCACCATTTTGGTCAAAGTTCAACCTTTAAATCGATGTAGCATATGTGGTATTTTTCGATACTTTTCTGTCATTAATTTATTTTGAAAATTTCTCCTTTTTGAAGTGGATTAATAAATATACGAATTTCTCATCATTTTCTTTTTTAATTTATAATTTTGTTAATACAAAAAATGTTAAGCGTTACATAGAAATTTTCAGTCTTAAGCTTTAAATTGCTGCATTGTAAGTGGTTCTCCGTGAAACTTTTCTGTTATGAATTCGCGTTAGAATATTTACTTTTTGAAATTAATTTAAAAGTAGAAATGCAATTATTTCTTTTCCAATTTATAATCTTGCTGATATCGAGATTGTTAAAAAATCATATACGTATTTTCGCAAAATCTTAAACTTTACTGTACTGTTATTTCGTGAAACTTCTCTGTCATAAAATCTTCTTATTTCGAAATCCTTGTAAAAGCGTAGATAGCATGTCACACAAAGTGATACCACGCGTACGTGTAATTGCATTTTCATTATAACACGCATATATATATATACATACACCGTATATGAAAAAAACTATACATATATATATATATACATATATTTTTTTTTTAATCGACATAGATAAAATATATATTACGAGAGTGCGAGGGAGAGAGTGAAAGATAGAAAGAGAGGGTGTTAAACAAGAGAGGCAGCTAATTACACTTTTCTCCGTGGGTCTTTATGAAAGACCACGATCTTTTTTTAATTAAAATTACGCCGAGCACCCGTGCGATTCTCGTTGTGCATCCAAATAACGAGAAAAGAAGAAAAAAATGTTAAAATAATCCGGGTGTTCGGGATAAATATTTTACAGATACGATGTTTATATTATACAAAAAAAAAACATCCAACTTAGGTACCTTGTGAGAAATTCTATAAATATATATATATATATACATATACAAATATTATTGGCAGATTGTTATATGCTATAATATTTCTAAATTTAGAAGAAACGAGGAGGCATATGTTATATATATACATATTATGGATGTACATGTATACAAAGCGTTTTAATTAGTATTTACGTGATTTAATTGTAACCATAAGAATGTACATAGTATTACAACGTTTCAAACTGACTTAGGACGAAATTTGGCTCGATAGTAAGGAGAATGAATTTTCAATGAATTAGATTACTTTTCGTTATTTTCATAAAACAGAAACGCTTGCACGTGCTAATTCCCTATTGTCTTGAATATCGTAGGATTCGATTTCTAACCGAGAATTTCTAAGGATAATGGTTTTTTATTGCTTTTAAGTAAACAAAAACGCGTGATAAGACGATAGAATACTTTTGCGATTTTTATATACAGGTATGTGCAATTTAATCGAGATTTAATACTGGAATGACTGGTATTCTCTTAAATTCAGAATAACGTGGGAAAATAATTAAATGAGTACCTTTAATTCTGCAATTTAAAACTCAGTTGTTCCAGAATTAAATGTGGCTACTGAAGAGATCTTTGCAAATTTTGTTTAGATAAAATTGCATATTTTAAAAATTATTTTTCATCGCAAAAAAAGAGATTGTATTCGGATTTAAAATGAATTTTGTAAACTATGCTTGTTAATTTTAAAGTAAAAATGTGCGCGTAGGATGTTGTCGATTTTTCAAAATAAATTTAATGAATTGTTCGAGCCGTTACCGGAGCATGAAATCGTCGCTGAAAATAGCGTTGAGTTTAAATATTTTAAAATAGAAAATTATTTTTCATGTTTGGCAAAAAAAATATTCGTTATAGTAGTTTTTGAAAATAAAATTGCTTGCACATACCTGAAAGCGGATACGCGTCCCACGGTAGCGTTTAGATTGTAACGTAATTGCGATCGCATTAATTAGGTGAAGTAAATGCAACATTCCAGTTAATGCCTGGACTGCCAACCATTTTCAGCAAACACCTGCGATAATTAATTGACGTGTTTTCATTGTGCGATAGTTTGTTTCACTAACGAGATATCAAGCGGTCATTTTTGCACAGTGAGTCATGTTTACTGTTGCAATTTTAAGAACGAAAGGAAAATGAATATTCAAACATTGTAAAATCATACAAGTCCTATCGCTATCTCTGTTACTAATCTTCTGTTCCCAAATTATCTACTTTGTTCTCTTTAATTTGTTAACGATTATTTTAGTTGTAAAGATATCTTTCTTTTAAGTAATAAGCGTAACAGTAGGATTTATGTATTATCTTCATCGAAAGCGAAGAAAGCAGGTATTTTTTTTTTAATGGAAATTGCGTCGAGCGGTGAGCATTTGTTTTGTATCAAATAATGCAAATAGTCACTTTTTTAATGTAAGTTTTGTACGAGCGACAGAAAACGTGGTGAGAGTAGCTTTCGTTGCTTGAAATTATTGCAAATAACTTCCTCATGTTATTGTATGTTTCTTAATGTTTTGTAATGATTTCAATAAAGGTATCCTCAAAATAGTAAAAAAATGGACTTGTCAGATTTTGCAATCACTTTCAGGAAAACATCGATATCGTAATTTATTTAAGCATGGATTACTATTAATCTCTTGTTCTAATCGCTCTGTAATTTGTTACACTATCGCCTTTGAATTGTGTTATATTATCTACGTTACAGTGTCCATCATTGATAAGAGACACCCAGCATTGATAACGTTAATTTTTCTCTAATGCTATCTCAAAGCAGTTTCCACCTACTAACTTTTCAATCAGAACAAAATCGTTTCTCTCTCATTACAAAACAATTAATTTATAAAGTGGAACTTTTTACAGACTAAAGGAGAAAAATAACGGAGTTTCTTAGTAAACAGTGAAATGAATGGATGGCAGTCCAGGCACACATGTTTGCTGTGCCAATGCAATGCGTTTTCTGTACATAATATCGTAGCCCTAATTAATATTAATTAGAGAGTAGCTGGAGTCCTGTTGACGTAAACGAATGGCATACACGTAGAAGTAATCGATACAGCCACACGAAAACGAGTCACACACCTTTTCTCACTCGTGGCTCCTTTGTCTTCTCCCGAAACAGAGGAAAAAACACGTCGAATGGAAGGGAATAAAGGTTTACAAAAACTGCCACACGGGCAATAAGCTTCTACATTGTAAACATTTAATGTCTCGCTAGCTCGGAAAATTGTCTCTGACCCGAAAGGACAAAAAGCAGGATCATTTGAAAAGAACAGTGACTATAATCCGTGCACTTGTAGCTGTGGATCCATTAAATTCATCTATTCCCATTAAACTTTAAGCTTCACTGTGCTATTTTGTAATAGTTGTCATCAATTTATCTTATAGTTGAGCCGTTTCTTAAGATTGATTAGGTATTTGTACGATAATATTGTTTGTTACAATTGATAACAAATCTTAAGTGCTAATTTCAAATCTTTTCATATCTACTAAGTAAGTTAACTTACTTTTAAACCTGTAGGTTTGCTACATTATTTGATACAATAATATTTTGTAATACTGTATCAGACTTTCCTATATTATAAACTTCAGTACTTCTGTTTATATCAGCGATTATTGAATAAGAACTTTGCTCATTGTACTCATCATCTAGATGTTATGAATATTGGATCCACAGCGCTACAGCATGAAAATTAGTTTTGCTAGAAACGGAAATCGGTGAACCTGAAATCGTCTGAACACTTCGCACAAGACTGAGAGGAGCTTGTACATATAAGGGTTCTATATATAATACATTACACAATTTGATATGAGTGAATGATTTGCTGGTGGATTCAGTTTATTACCATGACGTTATAATGATATAAAATGATAACAGCATTAAAAAACGATTAAGTAAGTTGTACATAGAGGAGAGAGGAGATCCTACTACCGCGCTATATATATAAATATATAATGTACGTATATGTTACTACCGTTGTCACGGCGTTTCCGTTGCATATAAAAACCATTTTCTACACGCAGAAAGCCTCTCCTATACCACGACACGACAGAAAGAGAAAGATTTCCTATTTTTCACACAGACACATACACATACACACTCGCAAGAAAAACACGCCCGATCCAGTGGACCAAACGATTGTCAACACCGCCTGAATTCTCACCTGGTTTCACCTGTTTTACACCTCTGCCCTCTTCCCTTATTTATATAATATATTCGATAGAGACAGATTATGATAGGAAATCAATGATTTCACCGAATCATCATGTGGCTATAATTAAACAGGCGCTAGTTTTAGATCTCCGCTGAACATCATCATCCTAACATCATCAACGAAGTCTGCGAACGTGTGTATACATTTTCCAATTGTAAAACGTCGTTCTAAGAACGTCAGAAAACGGCGTTATTGAATGAATTGAGTATCGAGTGGTGTCCAATTGAGAAAAAATAAACAAACGGTAGTAGAGTCTAACACGACTAAAGGTACCCGCAAGAGATCCGCTTATGAGTTACGATTTACATTTACAATCCAGATTATCCAGTAACGTTAAAATAGAATTAAGATGAATGTCACAACAAGTAATGTAAACTCTGAGAATTAATGAGACGAAATAAACGAGACGATGATTCAAATATATGGCAGAGAATGTATGCATATATTTATCTTTCTTGGCGTGTCATGGTTTACATCTTGTACAATTAACTCCATCGAATTCTTCCATTTCTCGTCCTTTGTTTTTTCGTTCGTCGTATTGAAATATGTCGGAAATGGAAGCACCTACTCCTGCACGCGTTCATCGACGTACACCCACCGTATTTTTTATCTCTCGGTAGAGATAGAGCAACAGACACTTCGTGCATGTTGAATTCGTTTTTTTTTTTTTACTAAGTTCTTCCTGATCAACTCTCCAGGAATTTAATGGTTCACAAACTGCTCAGGACTTGTATATACCTAAAAGAACTCCATTGATCACGATGTCTGGAAGACTGTTTGACGTCCCGTTCGGATAAGCGTATGGATCACATTCAAACGTTAATACTGGATGGTGACCAAAGGCATTGGGATGAACGTGCTGCGTATCTTCCGTGTCTTTATACGTGCTGAAAAGAACATAAATTAGCTATTGAAGTTTAGGAATACCAGAAATAGTCTAAGGAAGATCTATGACCATCTTCACAAGTGGTTATTGAATAATTGTGACTACTGCACAGCTACGAATATTCATATTTGCACTGTTATATTAAATAAGATCAAATTTTGTAAATGCATACCTTTTATATGACGCACTAGCAGTTCGAGTTTCTATACCCAGAAAATTGAGAACCTGTTGCTTCGTGGCTGAAAGCCTTAGCATTTTTTGGACGTACAATTCTAGTGCAGCTCGCCTTTGCTCAAGTACCTTTGGCTGCGAATTTCTGACCCTCTTCGGCGGAAACGAAGCGATGTCCGCATTTTCCTTCTTCAACTGCAATAACAACAGACAAATTAGTTCATCGGTACTCAAGCAAGTAATCCTTTTATGCGATCTAAAGATAGATCCATTTAATGTAACAGCTGTTTGAAGTTCTTTCGTTGCACCCATAATAAGTAAAAAAAAGATATTGATTAAATGGGTGAAGGTTCGCTGAAGCTATTCTACTGGCTTGATAAGTGGAGTGAGATGATTAAAGCATGCCTCAAGAACCCTGAGTTCCTTGAAATAAAAATTGTTTATTTTAAAAATTATTTAATATCGAATGACAGAATTATTTTACCAAAGTTATTAAAGTTTGAAAAAGTTTTTAAAATACATTACTTACAATTTGAAACATATCGCGTGCCAAACGAATTGTTAGAGCGTCCGCCCGTGAGTTAGGAACGATCCGACTGCGCTTTTATAGAATTCGAAAGTGCTAACAGTATGCATAAATTTCACGAGTATGTTTTACAATGAGTTAATTGTTAAAGAACGCCAGCTACGTAAATGGTATATCGTTACAACGATGATGAAACCCATACGTATATTGATATGACTAATCAGCAACTATCGGAAAAAGTATCGCGTACCGACAGAAGTAAATCTGTGTACAATTTCTTTTAGTATACAGAAGCTAATTCGTATTGAAACAATATGTTATTATGGAGCAGGGGCTAAGCGCTGGATTTCAAAAGTGACCTTATTTTTGCGCGCGAGTTCAAACTCACTGTGTGCAATTTTTTTTTTAATTGTGATGAATATTAATAATAATGGAAATTATTAAATTGTTATTATAACGGAAATTAAGAAATGAAATTTAAGGTGATTACTGTTATTCTAGAACTTTCACATATTTTACATAAGGAAGTAGCGTCAAAGAATTTTATGCGCAGTTTATAACATGATATATCGATTGGAGATTTCAGATAAACAATACACTAATAAATAGTGAACTCGAAATTATAAATTTACAAATTTAAAAAATGCAGATTTCTAACTTACCAATACTCCATTTTGAAAGTTACCAAATTTTTAAATTTTTAAGTTATCAAATCCTTGAATTCCTAAACTGTCAAATTTTACAAGTATTCAAGTTGTCAAATTCCAAAATTTCTAAATTGTCCAATATTCAAATTTTTAAATTCTCAAAATTCTAAATTCGTAAATTCCCGAATTGCAAAATATACCGTATATTATTAGTATTTTGAGTATTGTCGGTAAACACTGAGAAGCCAGAAGTAGTAATTATATGCATTGTTTGTCAGAGGTCTCCACTATTATATAACGCACACATACACTTTTCAGTATTTACTACGTACATTCCTGTGAGCGGCTCACACACGTTTATTCATATGAGCGGAATGAATGGGAAAGAAAGTAGAATGAGAACGGTGTCCTTATTTGTACAATGTAAAAAAACTTGCGAACAAGGACAGAGCTATTACCGCTACTTTCTCTTTAAAACGCAGGATTCAGGAAGCTTATATCTATAGCTATAAATGTAGAAAAAACAGTGATGTTGTCATCGCTATTTTTCATTTCGCTTCATTCGGAAAATAGAACTGCAAGTTTGAAAAGAAAAAATGTAGAAGTTGGGAGGTTGTCGATGTTTTTTTCTTTCAATGATGAAATAAAGTATTATCAGTCTATGTTCTAAATTCTAGACAATAAAATAATTGAGATAAACATACCGTGCGATGTAACGCGCTAAATTGGCTGTATCTTCTCTCGATATAATACCGAGTACCAGTTTCTGGCTCCAATATTTCGATGCAGTAAACATAATAGGGTTTGCCGTGTGACACCTCGGCCAAACGGTATCCGCTAATGAAAACTTGATACATCGCATCGCTAGCAATTTTCTAAAGTCCTTAAAACACGTACGATAAAGCGATATCACAGATTACACAGAAAACGCGACGCTTCGATCACAGTACTTTTGTATTGCATACAAACGTCTGTCAATTCAGGCGATGACCAATGTGTTTGTCATACATATGTGCATTGAGAAACGCACTAATACAAGAATAGACTTGCGAGCACTACCAACTGTTAAATACACCTTACGAATGCTTTCGGTATTTTTAACTTTGAAGGCACTGCATAAGAAAATTATATAATTTTAAATAAAAAGGAAAAGTGGTTGTATCTTTTTAATTTTAATGATTTTCTTCGTGATATTAATTAATATTCCAAAAGAGAATATAATAATTGAAAGTCAGGTGTTCGTTCTTTTTACTGTATTCGTTTCTACATATTCTATGATCTATGACAACGCGCATGCGTTTCTATGGTGATCGTAATGCCAAAAGTATATAAGCTGTGAAAAAAGTTTCTTGATATATAATTTTTTATAATTTATAAAGTTTCCAAGTACCCAAGTATCCAAATTTCCGATGCCTCAAATTTTCAAATGTCTGCATCTCTCTTTAGTATATAAAGTTTAAAAATTTGGACATTTATTGGCAAATAATGTGGGCTCGTTTATTTTTTTCTCATCACGTATATGACTACGAAGAAGCAGACTATAGAAATGCTTCGTACCCGTGGTTAAAAATTTCCCTAGACTCTATAACTGCATCAACTAGTTATATTTTCTAGTGAAATAGAGGGTAACATTGTTTATTTACGAAACCATTCACAACATTTTTACAATGATGAAGGTTGAGTTTCTGACCTTCGTCTTATATATTCATCGAAATGAAAGGATTTGTTTGTAACATGTGTGCTATCTTATCATAACAGTAGTGAGAAAATTAAAATTAAATCGAAAGTAAAAGATGACATTTGTTTGGAGACCTTCGTCATGGAAGCACGTGATAAGAAAATCACTTTTACCAATGTATCAATTGATGATACTAAATCATGACATCCATATGTCAAAATGTAAATGTAGTTTTGAAAATATTAGTTGTTAAAAATATAAACTGAAACATTCATTTTTCGTTAACGATGTATGCTTTTTAGGTTGTTCCCATGGAGAATATGAAATGCAAGATCCAAAGTCAGAAGCCGATATGTAGGTAAAATTGAAATATATTATATATACAAATATGAAGCTATATCATATTGAAATTACACTAAATTTTAATATTACCTATATCACCATTCATCTGACTTATTATATTTTAGAGTAAATGTAACTTTTATTGACAAAACAGGGAATAAAATACCTGTAAAGGGGAAAATTGGTGATAATATATTATATCTGGCTCATAGATATGGAATAGAACTAGAAGGTGCATGTGAAGCATCTCTTGCTTGTAGTACTTGTCATGTATATGTGCACTCTGATTATATGGATAAACTTCCACCATCTGAAGAAAAAGAGGAGGATTTGTTAGATTTAGCACCATTTTTGAAAGAGAATTCAAGATTAGGTATAAACATGAACGTTTATGTCTATGTTTTAAATTAGTTCTATAAACTGTCATAAATATAAATCTATACTTTCAGGTTGTCAAATTATATTAACTAAAGAACTGGATGGTATAGAACTGCAGATACCAAAAGGAACAAGAAATTTCTATGTGGATGGTCATACACCAGCTCCGCATTAACAATTTGTTGCCTTGTAGCTCAATTAAGATGTACATACTTTGTTTATATGCTATATAACAAAATTGTAAGACTTTATCTTATTAAGCAAAAGATCTAAGTGTAATATAAAGCAAATATTACACTACACTGTTGACATCTTTAATAATTGATAATTTAGGGAAACATTATGTTCTCAGAAAGTATTATAATATATTTCATAAACATTTGGAACAACAAACTTGTTTTATATGACATTTTGTCATGGTACAATATATTTATTTCTTATACATTTAGATTATAATACATATTTTTAATTACAATGATACAAGATTTAAACATTTATGATATAATGAATCTGTGAATTAAAATTGTATTTGATAGCTTTGCAGCATTTACATTATTAGTGAAAATATCCTATAAGTTTTTTTCACAAACTGATCGCGTGTGAGCGCTGCCACTAATGTGTTTGCACGTTTCTCCACTTCTGGCAGGCACCATTATACATTTTTTTCCCAGTTTGACAACATTCACAATAATTTCGTGTATACCTATTCTCTAAATGTACATACTTTCCCGCGTTCATCAACTCGTATACGCGTACGCAAACTTGCACTTTTATTGATGCATCCACACACTTGTCTCTGTGTCGATAATTATTATCACCAACATTGTCATATAATTATCATACAAACTATATTTATTTATATTTTCTGTTCATTATTGATCACTATAATTATAGACACGTTGTAATATCTCAGATCAATCGCATTCTACATTCATACTTCATAATTAAAAGAATTTAAATAGAAGTACACTCTCTCACTCATACAATGTCATACAAAACTACATCTGTGAAGATGATTACATGTATATTTCTCATTTGGTATGAGGCATCACAACGGACTTATTGAAAAATAATTTTTTGTACTTATTCGCAATTAAAAACGGGTTATAATATTTAATTAAATATTATACAGAAATAAACTGTCTACAAGTTTCAGTGGAATACTGTGAATCGATAAAGATAAAAAATTTGTTCGAAATTACGTTGTCAATCTCTATGGCAGTAAACAATTTAATATATACATACTTGATAAATTTTAAAATAATTCTGAAAATTTACAATGTTAGACAGTGTTAAAGAACTTTTGTAAAAGTAAATCCTGAGTGGCATTATTTATAATGAATGTATGTTGGAACATGTATATTTGAAACTGAATAGGTAAAATATTTAATGAAATTATATCTTCTGCATGGATGTAGAAAACCCTAATCATTTAAATTTCAAGCATAAAAAAATTTTGATACAAAAAGTTAGTTTTAATTAAACAATGAACTAAAAATAGATTGTTACTATCTTATTACTGGACTAGAAACATAAGGCATAATTAAAAGTTATCAAACAATAATAATGAATTCTTATCTTCCATCACCTTATGTACATTTATAAAATATTTCATGTTCTTTTTTTTTAATAACTAAATGTCTGCAGAAGTTCTGTTGATCAAGCCATCCAACAATTTATTTTGTTGTCCCAAAGCTAAGTCTGACTTTACCATCTATTTACCATAAATGTTATTTTAAAAATAAGGTAAAAATTTTCTACAACATGTATAACACGATCATTGGGTCTATCTACCATTTCATCTTAAAAGCATTGATTGAAAATTGTTATTAAATCTCCTGAATTGATATTTGTGGTCGTGTATAATGAGCAAGAAAACAACTATATTTTTACATTACACTTAATTATTCATAGTATTTTAATTAATTTAAAATTAATTATTATCTCAATTGAAATTTAAAAACTTTAGATCCTTTAAGCTCATAAAACTTTAAAATCATGTATTGTGAAGCTGAATAATGATCAAAAATATGCAATAAGCAATTATTGCTAAAAACCAACTGCATTCCTCTTGCAAAAATATTAATTTTCTAAATATTTAAATGGTATACGTATTATTCAAATATCGTAGAATACATAGAATAAAAAGAAGTATCTACTAATTACTGGTACAATTAGAAAAATAATTAATAGTACCAATATAATGGTAAATTAGAATTTTCTTATCAATACCAAATACATATATTACAAGACTATAATACATGATAAAATAAAGATTTATATCTGCAAACGATCCATGGCATCCAATAAAAAGCAAAGAAACAAATTTTTATGAAATTATTCAGTGTAGATACATTTATCTCATTTTATCATTTAGCGTCAAATTGAAAATTCATTCCACTATTTAATAACAGTTTTTTGAACTTATGTTCACTGTTCATGGAGTAACAATAAAATTGATAGTACTAGAAGTACCGTACTAGTAAATACTGATATTATTTAGTGTTTGTGCCAACATAGTAGCATGCGAAATTCCATTTAACAAATAACCAACTATATAAATATTAATGATATTTTGTAAATACAAAGAGCACAGTATAAAAGGACCTTAAAAACAAAGTGGCGCTTAATAATAAGAAAATTATTTACTACAAAACATTCACTTTCATTTCTGAATGACCGTATGATTTTTTTTTAAAATTATAATGCAGTAGTTAACATTAATTTTGATACTTATTTATGAAAGTGCAAACAGCTTCTGTTAACCAGTTTGTGCTAATTATTAAAGAAGATTACGAACCTTTACGATTTTTTTTTTTAAATATCGTAAACTTCAATGCAAAAACATACATTTTGCATATTTTGCAATTAACATCAAATTAATTCAGATTATTTCTTCCAAAATAAATTATACAAAAAACTACAGAACTATAAGACAAATATTGTCAGCACTGGGTTTAATGTGTGTATACATATATATATATAAATATATATTATACAAAACGTAATAGAAAAAGGAAGTAAGAATCGAAATAATGTATCCTACAATAGTAAAATCTCATTATTATAAGATCAAATTCAAAGCACAAGAAAGCACTAAAATAAATAATATATATAATTTTTTTATAATAAAAAGAAAATTTTTAATTTTCTATGCTCTCTTGTTCGACAATCGCAGCAAAATTGAATCTTACGATGATATAGCAAACAGTACCTTTATCATTTTCACTTTAACAGCTTCGTACGAGGCAAAAACTAGCTTTCAAACTGGGAATAACAAATTATGTCTCGTTTCTCGACTGAATTCTCACAGTGTGCACAATGTATCACAAATAGTTGGTCAGTCCAAATAATGTTCATGGACCAATCATTCAGAGTAAATACTAAACAACGTCCATTTTGAAATTGTTCAATGTACAGATGTGACTAAATAATGCATTTTGCTAATAAAATATACAAAATGTATGGAATATACATGGTATCAGGGCTAAATGCGATAATTTGTGTTCATGTTTTTTTTCTTTTTTTTTTGTTTTTTTTTTTTTTCGTTTTTTCAAACAAATTATTATTTCAAAGATGACGCTGATGGATAAGTGCATGTACTGGAAGTTGTCTACCCCTTTGATACCTCTGACAACGACCCATACTCAGATCGTGACATTCATACACGTTGGCCACGGCGCCACGCGATGAAGAAAAATTGGCCGATCCGACTGAGTATGGAGCAGAGATATCAAAGGGTTCCTCCAGTTATTCCATCGGATGGTGACGTCCTCCACACATTCCGCAGGACGTGCCACACCAATGAACAGCTCTTAATGGAGGATAAATCCACAAGCAAGGAACGATCAGTGATAATAACGCCAAACCAAACCACCTCCGTCCACATCCTTCTTCTGTGCTACAACTGCACAATTTAATATCCATTTATAATGTATTCTCGGTTATACTATCAGTATAACAGTGCCCAAAAGTAAAAAGTAACAGATTCGATTATCGAATACATTATAAATATTAGAAATCTACATGCTGAATATTGTTTACTGTAAATCTTGGAAAATAGTTTTTAAATAATTAAATAAAAGTACTCACCTGCAAGGATTCTGAGAAAAATCGCCTTCAGCATCACTCATACAGTGGTACAACATGCCCTGAGCACAAGATAAACATGAAACTTTTGCGATTCCCCGTTTGATAGGATCAGGAGCATACTCGCAAGATCCTCTAGGATTGTGCTGTTCCGTATACAGCTCTTGGCAATGTTTACATCGTAATCGAACATTACGTTTCATAGTATTTTTTGTGGGCTGAGATTCTATGATATCCGGTTTCTTCAAAGAACTGCTAGTATTATGTCTATTTAACCGATCTCCTTTATGATCACCAATGATGGGATATAAATATTCGTGATTAAGCGTCGTGAGCTGCACATAAGGATAGTTATCTGATCCAACATCTTCAGACGATGCTAGAGGATGTTGAGACGGTGGCACTTTTATAGATGGTCCACCGATATAATGAATAGGTTTCTGTGAATCAGGAAGATCTGAACACTGGGAATGATATTTGGGCACTCTAACTATTCCATGGGGTGTATCCGATGATGGACGTGGTTCTGGTGGTTCCACAGGTAAATTCAAGGTCTACAAAATGAATTTAACTTTACACACATTATTATAATCTATTAGCTTTTTTTAATACATACCATAAAAACATCTTCATCACCAGCATCTGATGTATTGCCGCATAATGATGAATTGGTCAATCCTGTAATAAACAAAATTTTGTCAGTAAACTATATATAAAAAAAGTATCACAATGTAACAATAGAATAAAATAGAAAAAAAATGCGAAATTCTTACCGTTTATAGATTCCACAAAAAGTAGCAGGAAAATGCAAGTAAGTTAATGAAATATAAAATGAAATGTATCAAGAATTATTTATTTTATACTCTTATTATCTAAAACTTTAAACTAAGAATAAAAAAAAAATTATAACTGAAACAATAACTGTACCTTCTAACAATTCTTCAACAGCTGTACGGACACCTTTATCAAAAGCTCTTGCATCCGCAGCTGTTTGAAACGTCAGTCCAAACTTTTTCTCCCCAGTTCTCCAGTGATGAAAGGTTGGCATTACCTTATTATATTGAAAATCTTTTTTAATTGTACAGCTAAGAACAACCTATTGAAAATAATGTTATATGAGAACTTATAACAATCAGTTAATAAAATCTTAAAGTCATGAAGTAAAATTTATTACTGCTTGATCAGCGTTGCGTTTCCCATAAATAAGATACTCGTGCCTCTTCTTAGTCGCACCAGGTGGGGAACTACTAGAAGATCCATGATTTTGGGTATTGACAGCTGTACCCGATACAGAGTGTGTAGAGTTGGTAGAAGAGGCAGTCGTAGCAGAAATATCAGCTCCATTGGTATTATTAGGCTGATGCCCACCCGAAGAAGTTGCTCTTCGTCTAACAGAAACATTTGCCAAACCACCGCCATTTACAGGAACCCAACAACCTGAACTATCATCTCTTGTCATCACTTGGGCACAAACCCTTACTAGATAGTTACCACTATAAATAAAATATCAGCAAATTAATGTTATAAATACTGGTATATCCTTTTATAACAATATACATTTATATGACTAATTTAAGAAAGTATTTAAAGCTTAACGCAAAAGCAAATTATTTATTATTTAATGCAAGGCAAAACAAATTCATAATTTATTTTAATTTCAATTTTATACATACTCAATAAAAATGATGTCAAATCAGCATAAGAAATTTTTTAAACGAAAATCGGAAAACACACAAGACCGACAAGTACGTGAAAGCGAAGAATCATTGTTATATACAACGAGATAGCAGATGTTACGCGCTGACATCGATTTAATGAATGAACGGTCACCCCTACACACACACAGGATAACACACCAACACCTCAACCGAAATCGTACATTTGCTCGTTAAAATTTTTACCGACGTTCAGCGAACATGACACGTCTCACAGAGGAGGAGGATTATTTGTAAGAGCGAGCGAAACGCCAGGAATTTGAAACAAGTTGATTAATATGCAGGTGTCGAAAACGTTGACAGGAGAATATGTAAGGACGAGGTCAGACTGAACTGTCAGGTGCTACATTACGAGCACGATATCAAAGAGAGCACAAGAGCTAAGCCATAGTCACGGACATTTCAGGTTTCCGAGTGGAAGAATCGTCAGTAAGCACCATAGGCATTATAATGCTACTTACTCCTCTGACGCCTCTGTCATGGTTCGAGCTGTCGAAGCCTTTACTCAATGCCCACTTTTTCCCACACTTCACCATTTTCGTTGCATTGAAAAGACATTCGGCTGCGATTCTGTTTATGGAGCTTTTTTAGGCTAGTGCCAACCACAGGAAGCGCCCCAGTCCTCCTCCCTCTCGCATTCCCCGTAGAGTTCATCCCCACGCCCGACTCGAACCCACGGTCCACGCCTGCTCCCTTTAGGTTTTACCGACCGTCGCTTTCGTTTCGAAAACATCTCTTCTTTTGCATGTTTCTCGATACACCATTCTCGATTAGAGCATCAATTAACCGTACTCGAAAATAATTAGTACCGTGCAATTTCACCGGTTGTAATCCGCAATCAAAATCAAGGAAAAAAAGCAGTTGACCAAACTCGTGCATCGAGGTTCACCCCGCAAGCCTGGACTGACTATACAGTAGCTATCGACGCTTTTACAATGAAAGCTACCGGTCGGTCTGCGCAACAGGATTCATTCATCGATGCTGCCCATACAGTCTTGTTAACCTTTGGAGCAGAGATTCCCAAAGTGTGGGTCCCGATCTACTCGTGCATCACGCTGAAATACAAATTTTTTATGCATTACAGCTATATTTTTTGTATTCATCCCCTTTTGTTTAAAATATTTATTATAAGCGAGTGGATCGCGAAAATCATTTTCGAAAGTTGGACTGGAATTTTTTAATTTTTCAACTTTCAAACTTTCGAAATTTTGAAACTTGCGACTTTGACATTTTTGAACTGTACAACTTCGGGACCTTGAAACTTTTTGAAATTTTGTATTTTCGAATTTTGAAACTTTGAAATTTTAAAACTTTAATAATATAACTTCAGAATTTTTTAACTTAAAATTTTTTTAATTTCGAAGTTTGAAACTTTGGAACTTTAGAGTTAATAATAAAACGCTATTTTTATGGTGAACAGTTTACTTGAATTTACCATAACCCTATAATAATATAATGTATATTATAATGTATATTATATTGTTATAATAATTATTATAACAATTTTGTTATAATTTGATATATTTTATAAAATGTCTCTTTTATAACATATTTTATGCTAAAGTATTTTAGCACAATAAGTGTATTTAAATTTTATGTCACATGTATATTTGTTTAACAATTAATAATGCTCTAATTGCTTTATATGAAACTGTATCGACTGGGATACTTTTATCAGCTCACGTATCCTTATTTAAATACGTCCATGAACTTGGAATACTTATTTTCCAATACTTATTCGACTGATATTAAATAGCAGGTATAAATCGATAATGACGCATATTTTCATAAAAACTATTATACTTTAATTAGTCTGTGTTACAGATATTTATGAAGGCTGAATTAACGTTGCAATGTAATGCTGCACGCAATTTAAAATTAGACAATTTAAAGATTAAAGAGTTTTTCAATCATTGTCTTACAAATATTAGAATAACTATAACCAGTAATTCATAAAAGTTAACTACGTCCTTATCTTCCTACTCATAAAAGAAACACTTTTCTTTTTTTAATCTATTCTTATAACGTGTACACTATACAAAGAACTTTTTATCATGGAAATTTCAACGAAGTTCCGTAAGTTCATTATTCATATTTAGATATTGAAGCTTTTTTATTTTTACGGCGTTGCATCTGTTCAGAAAAGCATTCTATTATTCACTTCCGGTTACTAAAAAGTTACTATTCCATGTTCTAATTCATTGCATGCTGATTATTAACAAATAGCATTGTTGGAAACATAGGAAGTTTTAAAAATACGGCCGATAAAGAAGAAAATTTCTTGTATCTAGTAATTAATGTCGTCTTTGAATCTTCAAGATTGGCAAATTTTCGAACACACAAAATATTATATTTGTTGTAGAAAACATAAATTTAAACTGTATAATTAACCGCGAAAAAGTATCGACAATAGGAAAATTTCTACTAAATTTAATTAAATTGTAATGGTCAAAATAAAGAAAAAACAAATGAACAGATGCAGAACAGAATATTCCAGAATTTGGAAATAATCGAGAAGCGCCTAAAGTGGTGCGAGATTTCTTCATTCTTGCGACAGTTAATTTGACAATAATATGGCTGGTAATTTTTGGCAGAGTTCACATCAGTAAGATTTTCCTTCATCATACTTTCATCTATGCCTTTATCATACAAAATAATGAAGTATCATATGTTTTTAGTCAACAATGGCTTTTAGATAAACAAGATCTAGTACGAGAACGGCAACATGATCTTTCTATTTTAACTGAAGAGGAATATCAGAAATTGTTTATCTTTTTTTCCAATCGTGAGTTAAATATTTTATCAGGCAATTTGATAATTTAGTAATTCTTTTACCAAATAATATGTATAATAATCTAGTGTACTGTTTTAGTGATACAAGTATTAGGTGAACAATTGAAACTGAGACAGCAAGTAATAGCTACAGCAACAGTTTATTTTAAAAGATTTTATGCTCGCAACAGTTTAAAATGTATAGATCCTTTATTACTTGCACCTACATCGGTTTTCTTAGCTTCCAAAGTAGAAGAATTTGGAGTTATTTCTAGTCACAGATTAGTTACAACATGTCAGACTGTAGGTAAGCAGTTATTTGTATATACTTTATTCGATAAATTGTATCAGAGATATACATTAATCCATTTAATATTTTTTTCAGTAAAAACAAAATTCAATTATGCATATTCTCAGGAATTTCCTTATCGTACAAATCATATTTTAGAATGTGAATTTTATCTTTTGGAACATTTAGATTGTTGTTTAATAGTATATCAGCCATATCGTCCTTTATTAACTCTTATTCAAGATGTAGGACCTGATGAACAATTATTGACGCTTGCTTGGCGTATAATTAATGACAGTTTACGAACAGATGTTTGTTTACTTTACCCACCATATCAAATTGCTATTGGTAAGAACTTTTTAAATGAATATAATAACAACTTTATATTATAAATATTGCATATTAACCAAAATATTTGTAGGATGTTTACAAATAGCTTGTGTTATACTACAAAAGGATTTAAAGTCATGGTTTGCTGAACTAAATGCTGATATGGAAAAAATTCAAGAAATTGCACGTTATATTATTAATTTATATGAACTGTGGAAAACGTATGATGAAAAAAAAGAAATTCAAGGTTTACTATCTAAAATGCCAAAACCAAAAGCAGCACCACAGCGCTGACAACAAGCTCTTTTATCATCTAATATTTGGGACTGATATTTAAACATTCTATAACAAAGGTAAACATTTTATTTTTGTTAAATACATAGAAGTTGTGATTCATCTTTGTATTGTATTATACTTTTCATTCTAAAGAAAATTGCAATAAGTAAATATTATATTATAAATCATAGAATATCTTAAATATTTTTTGTGGGATTTGAATTAAATTGCAAATTAAATTATAAAAATAAATTAATGATTATACATTGGAAATATTAGAACGTATAATAATGAAAATAAAATCATCACTTTCTTTTTAAAATATTAAGAAACAAGTTCACTTTATTTCTTATGTAAAATTATTGATTTGGATCTCACATTGAAACTAAAATACTTAACTTACATTGTATTTAATAAGTTACGTATTATACAAATATTGGAATTGAAAAAATACATAATTGAGGATGAAATTTTACTATAGATTGTTCTTAAATGATGATTCTATAATGTAATTTCTAAACATCCTTAATGTACTAACTGGAGCCTTTAGAATATCGTTTCCAGAACTTTTTTACATCATCATGGCCTGCTTTTGTAACTACCATAGTTCGTTTCCTAAACAAGAAAAATAAATAATTAAATACTGCAACTTTTAAAACTGAAGCTCTTTGATTCTACATTCATACCTTTCACTTTGCCAAATTAGTACTCCTGTAGAAAGAGCATGATCTCTAAGTACTTCAAAGTCAGTTTGGGACAGAAACTGACTATATAATACTCCTTCGCTAAATATAAATCTATTCCTTTCATTTTCCCACAATTTAATTTGATCTACTATAGTAGGAGGTAAAACTGGAGGGCCTGCTTCTATCATTTTACTATGAGCATGTTGCTGCAAATAACTGTTAATATAGCAAAATACAAATTAACTGTTTTATTTCATATTTTAAAATATATGTTATCAACAAAAATTATTTTATAAAACATACCCGACGATTTGTGAAGCTGTAATTCCACTCTTTAAGGCTTGACGTACTGAATCTCTTGTTAATATTGATACAACTAAATTCGGGAATCTATACACAGAAGTTTTAAATAAACGTTTTGTACAATTATTATGCAAAACATATATTTTGATATTTTTAAATATACCTGTATAGCATTTCACAAAACAGACCAAGTAAGGCAACTTGTAAATTAGAATTTGTATAAGCATACACTCTGTAATTTGTTTCAACAACGATATATCCCTCTTTATCTGGATCTCTAGATAATGGTTTGTTTTGTCCAGTTGCAATATTTAGTGCCAGCCTTGTAGGGTAAAATCTAAAGGTATACAAGAAATATAAGTACAGCCTATATCAAGTAATTTTATTTAATTATATTTTATTTAAAATACTTAACATTTTACCTTCCAGCTTTTCGTTTTCGTTGATAAACAAGACCAAATTCTCGTAAATGTTGTAGAAATGTTAACAGACCCTCAGACATTCCTTCTGTACTATAATCTTTACCAAGTGTTGAAAAATTTAGTTGAAAGAGAAAGGTAAGGCACTCAACTAAATCAAGTCCTCTAGCTTCTATTGTATCTAAGTATTGTAAAATAAAATACCACACCTGCAACACATTTGTAATAGATGTATGTTTAAAGAAATCAATACAAATTATTAATATTATAATATTGAAATACCTGTGATGCAGTTTCCAATAGTAAAAATTGAAAACCTGCTTGTGTAATAACCGGACTTCCATCAGCTTCATCTCGTTTCATCAATCCAGCATGTAAAAGAATTCTAACAGCATCAGCTGATATACCTGTGATACAATTTATTTTAAGAATAAAATATATGTACCATGTTATATTCTAAAATATATTTTCTTTGGATTAAAATAAATTACCTTCTTGCTGTTGTGAACCAACCATGTAATGTAAAACACATTCCCACCTTTCTAATGCATATGAATCTAAGAATGCAACGTCTCTAGGTTTACTATCGGTTTCTAATTGATTTGACATTGTCCATGGTTTTCCACCTCCCAAGAGAACAATTTTCAAGTTTTTTTTAAATGTAGTATTTAGAATCCATCCAGGTAATCCACCTGGTATCGATGCTTCTTTCCACACATTCAATTCATTTAAGATTGAAACTACCTTCTGATGTTCTTCAAAGTGTAGTTTAGAACACCAAGAAGCAATAACTGCTTGAGGCACTGGTTGTTCGACAAACAATAAACGCATAACATAATGTTTTGCAATTACTGGCAGTTCGCGAAACACAGCCAAACAAATTGGAGGATTATGATACAGTTTATTTAATATTTCTGGTGGACGTGATTTCAAATACTCTTGGAGATTTTTACACTGTAATCCAGTGGGTCGTAACAAATTCTTTCCGCTTATTGCATTTGACATTATTTTGTATGTTTAATAAAAAGTCATGTGTAGCATCAAGTAATACTTGTATCTGTATCTATATAGAATTGTTACAATTCATAACAAAAATGTTTTTTTTTATATTTACTTTTCTTGTACAAGTAACGATTAACCTAATAAATCAAGTAAATAATATATTTGAAATAAACATCACATCGTGTAAGGCAACCAGAAAATTCACTGTGTATACAATCTCTTATGCTTGATACCTCGCGGTACAATGAAGTGGAAACTGGCTTCCCAGGGGAAAATGGCAGTCAAGCCGGACAGGTCCTACCACCCGTAGTAACATCCACGTGTTGGCACGCCTTATGTCTCATTTACAAAAGATATTTTTGAAATCGATAAATTCAAAAATTTACGCAAGTACACGCTTACTTTTAAAAACAAGCTGTTCTATTATGTAATTTTACAATTCGGAAAGATTATTCTGCGTACCACATGAGAACATAAGTTAAGATTTGTGTTTTGTTAAATTTTATATTCTTACATTTATTATAAAAATTCCGCGGTGATTTAATATACTAAAAGGTATAAAAGGTAATAACTAAGTTAAAAATTTAGAAGTATTTTGAAAGTCTTATTATTACGTGTATTTCAAAGTTTCGCGGATAGAGTCTCGAAATACACCACTAGTACCATCTAAACGCTTAGAATTATTCAAACGAAAAACTGCGGATAAATGGCGCTAGTAAAAAATTACCGATGGAAGCAAAAAGAAGACGTTGTTGTCGCAGTATGCGTATGGTTGCATTTATTTAAGAAAGAAGAATTCACAAAGCTCTTGGATGTTACTGCAAACCTTAAACTTTAAATTTTAATTACAAATTACTTAATTAATGGAAAAGTTTGATAACAAATATTTTTAATGCTTTCACAATAATTCTCTACTTCTATTTACAAAAAGAATATCACATTTAAGAATAACAAAATTTTGATATGAACTTATAATTACAAATTGACTTTATCTATAGATATAAAACAGGAATTAACTTTATCTACAAGTTAGCTACAATTTCCGGACAATGCGCGGGAAAATATAAATTTTCAAAATGAGACTTCTAAAATGCTTTCAACATTTTAAATTTAATTAATTTACAATAAGTTATTGTTTTTTATATCATTTTTACATATTAAATTACAATGATACTTCCTTTATAAATGTAAATTTCGAAGTAATATTTAACTATAAAAAACATTAGCTTATATTCTAATGTAGTTCCTAGGATTGCTCTTCTGAAACATAATGGGCGGTAATAAAACAACTTGCTTTTAAAAGTAAGCATGTACTTTCGAAAATTTTATTATTTGTCAAAGCATGATGCTTACCGATATGCAATGTTATAATGGGTAGTCATTTTCCCCAGGAAAACCATATTTGCATTTGAATGTATATACATATAGTAAATCTTTAATTTTTTAATACTAACACACTATTCTGTACATTTTTTACATTATAATTTTATTTGTAGTATATTGAAGATTTAGGTTTTGCGGTCGTAATACATTTTCTAATACACAGTGATGAATACATTTATTTTCATGTGGAAAATACTATATTATTTTTATGTTAAAAAATTAAATTAATTAAATATTCTTAGAAAATTATATATAATGGGGGAGATCGATTAAAAAAATGTTGAACTTATTAGAAATATTATTATTAATTTCCTTAATTCACAAGTTTTAAGATATCATTTGACATTTTAAAGTGTACGAGAACAAATAAATATTATTAATATAATCAATCACTAAACTTTTGGTAGGTTAAGAAATTAGAGATATTGAATGCTTTCTAAACTTTGGTCCATTATTTGTTTGGCTAAATAATTAGAATTTAATTTAAAAAAAGAAATATGATTTCCTAAGTTGTTAAATAAAATACATATAAATAAACGATATCGTTAATAAAACGAATAATTCACATTCTCAATATACGAGCTTTCGTGTGTAACGTTTCTACGAATAATGCATTAACATGTGATGTATGAAGAACATTAAATGATTCTTTCATATTATATAAAAAGCACCAAATTGCTTTAAAAAATAGATACAAAAGATTAGAACAAAATACAGAATTCTAAGATGACCTCTTTACAACTTTATCAAAATGTAAGTTTGTAATTACCATACGATGAACGTAAGGACTGTTAAATTTACTGAAATAAATTAGCGCCTGGCTAATATTTGAATTCTTGCCTTATTACTGATACGATAACTTTTTCTAGAAAGTTATTTGTTAATGAACTTTTTGCCTTGAATTTTGCTTTGTAATATAATTTGTAGAATTATTTAATGCTGTATTATCGATAGAATTATCTGATACATCTTCACTGCTACTGCTACGAATATCACCTTCCATCTGAAAAAATTACATACAAAATTTGAGATTGAAAATACTACACAATTATATTTAACATAAAATTTGTATATCTAACATAACTTACTTGACCAGCATAAAATGCGTTGTAAGCGATTTTAAGTATTAAATACGTCCATATTATATGAAGACACAGTAGTAAGATCAACAAAAAGTTGAAAATATAATATGCTGGGAACATTGGTACTATCTTAGGTGCTTTTATCGATGTGCTACATAATAAAATACATAATAAAATATATTTAGAAAAGTAATATAACTAATTTTAAGTTATTTAAAATTAATGAAACATACCTATGAATTATCCAAAGTGGATAAACACCAATACGCGTGATAATCCATAACACTGTGAATATAACGAATATGCAATCGCATAATTTCTGGTAATTAGCATATTTAGCCATTTTAGCAGCCTACAATACAAATAAACATATATATATGATATAGAACTATATAAATGTATGTATATTTGATTATAAAATATTTAATGTATGTTCTACTTACTTCTAGGAAAATATCTGCACTATCATGCACTAATAACACCAATGAACCAATTCTAGTCAAATTTCCAACCCATGAGAAACACATTAACATAATGGTAGCTTTATGGTGAATAAACATTTGCCAAAAATCTTTTCTTTTCACATCAAAGAATTGAGAGAAACTTAGAGACCAGTAAAATGCCATTGATATCATGTAATACCACCACACATCATTGGAAACTGGATGGTATGGATAATCATAATAACAATAATTAATGTCCCACAACCATGGCTTATCCCATAAAATAATGAGGCCATAAATAAAGGAATATGTATAATATAAACATCTCCAACTGTAAAAAAACAATTGAATATTGTATTAAACATTAAAATGTATAATTTCAAATTTCAAATAAACAAATTTAAATATTATTTAATAGTAAATATATTTTATAATAAAAGACTAACCTGTTCTCACAAAATTTTGTAAGAGTTGATGGCTTATCCTGAGTACGTCTTAATCGCAACCACCTTTCTACTTGTCGTTCAGACCAATCTAATTGTTTAGCCAGTGCCAGGATCTTAAAATATATCCATATATTACAAAAAAATCCATAACATTTAATTTCTCAGTTACTTTGATTTAGATTACATGAATCTGTTTCAAGAACCTAATATTAAACATATAATTTATAACTCAATAAATGTGCGATATATTCATATAGTATTGTTATTTAAAAATTACAGATAATACCACTATTAATTCTATACAATTTATATAATGTACATCAAATTTCTTACCAAATAACAGTAAATTATTTTGTTATTATACTGACTAAATGAATAAACAGAAGATATCTATTAATGTAATTTCTAGATAACTGATTACAAAAATTTACTTCACTAATTCAATATGTAAATAAAACAAATTAAAATATAAAAATTTTGTTGTTATTTATCAAATTTTGTTTGTCACAAAATAAACTTACCTGTTTATGTTTAAATTTTCTATTAACATAGGCTTTTTCTAATATCTCATTTGGTACTGCTTTTTTTGATCTTGTATTTTTTATACCAAGAGATTTTCCAAAAGGTGCAAAGCAATACCTACAAAAGATTAATGAAACATGTAAATTAAAATAAATCAATTACTATTCTCAATTCGAGAACTTTATACAATTTATAAAATATTAAATATAATATATAAAACCATTTAGAAATAGATACCCAAACTTTGGTATCACATTCTATCTTCCTGAAGAATGGGAAGAGGTCATATAAACATAAATCAAAGAACTCTTTCTTTTCAAAATATCAACACTTCTTGTTTACTTCAAAATTTAACATGAATGACTATTGCACACAGTTATGATATATATTATAATGAATTAAATTCATCCTAATACTGAAGACATTGTGCATCATAATAAATACGTCAAAATGTAAGAATCCAACAGTATCTCTTTCAAAAATTTAATCGCTTATTTTTAAAAAACTATATATATGGATATATATATCTTTCCTATATCAAATTTTTTACTGTTTCTAACAATCAAATAATTGTTTAGTACAACAATGTAAAAATAATATCAAGTCCATATCGTGTTTCGAGCTAAGTAGTAATTTCTATAATATACTTTAAATTTGTGGGTGCACTTTGCAGTACTCATTTCTATAATGCTCTTTGTCTCTACAATTATTAACTGTACATAATATTAAATTAATTACACAGGTGAAAATAATTTTTGACTTGATAATTGTTTTAAAATATATGTCAAAGCCATATGTTACTATATCTAACTTTATAATATTAAGTCACACAAGAGAAGATACAACACTGGAACTATGCAGCATTAAATCAAAGTATTCTGATGTTAAGTCACTAAAACTTTGTTCCTCGTTGTAGTCAAATAATATTAAGTCCAATTTTTACACCAACAAAATAACAACACCCAGTACACAATGTCACTTACAAATAATAAAATAATACATTTTGTATCTTCATTCAGAAAACTAAGTACATATCTTCAACAGTTCCAAAATTACAGAATTTTTATATCTTTGATGTTCTTTTAAAATTTGAAAACTATACCTTTTAACATACTCTGCTCTGTGATTCATATATGCATATATGTATATATAGAATGTATTGTTATAATGCATCAAATACTATTTGCAATGTTATTCATATCAGACATGTAGCACAATACTTTAAAAAAAGAGATTAATTGAATATGTTCAATGATGTAAAATTTTGATATAAAAAGGAAAGACATGTAACATTGGATGAATAAAATAATTACCTTTCTAAGGCAAATCTAATTATTAAAAGAACTAATGCCATAAGTAACGGATAAATTAAATGTTGATAGTTAGCATATTTGTTTTCTGAATTTGGTTTAATATCATCCCATGTTATATTAGGCGGTAACCAAACATCAGTCGACCAAAAAGCCGATGATACGTTTTTTAATATATCCATCGTTGAGACGTCTGAAATTAATTATTTATATAATAACCTCGTTAAATATCCTTCATAAAATTATTAACTTGACATAATGAAACGAGTAACGTACACTTAAATTACCTTAATAACTAAAATTCGGCTAGCTTTCCGTTCTTACACGCCACCGCTCGAAGACTGCGCCCGTAATTTTGATGCACCGCGTTCAATTTTTCTCCCGATTGTTGCTTCGCAGTGAAAAATAATTATCTTTATTTCTTGCGTGCTAGTTTGTCGAAATTGACTGTTCAATATACAATTAATACGTGCTTTAGTTACACAACTGTCGTTTATAAATGTACATTAAGTGTGAGTGTAATCATTTTGATAACGAACGTATCATGGATAACCTCGTATATAAATTTCGATAGAATTTTATGATTATTTAAGGTCCTTCAAATGTACCGTACTAATAAACAAATGTAAAATCAAACAGCATCATAAGTTGTATTGAATTATTACATTTATAAACAGTGCTTATGAATCATTTGCTTTTTTCATAAATTTGTTTTTAATAATAGTATTCGACTAACGGGAAAAGTATATTGCTTATAAGATAGGTTATCTAAAAAGATGGAATTTTAAATCTAGTAATCTGTAGAAAATGTGAGACGTGAAATTTTAATCATTTTGAGTAACGTGATTTCATCATATACATATAGGTCTCGTAATGTTCGTATATTTTGTAATAAGGTACATGGAATACGAAGTTGTAAATATATATTACCGACCGAAACTTTGAATTTTAAATTAAATTTATGTAATGAATGTTATTGAAATGTTAATATCCCTCGGTCAATTATACTTTTAAATGATTATTATATAAAAAGGCTTAAATTATAATATGTCTGAACATTAAGTTTTCATTTTACAAATTGTTAGTTTTAATTTTTTAATTGTTCTTGTGATATAATAATCTGGTAGGGATATTTTTCATACTTGAATATTTATGGCAACCCATCCTTATCCTCCCACCTTGTTCAATAAATTTGCAAATTTAAAACTTGAATTGGAAAAATTTAGGAATTTTTGAATAATAATTAAATAACAATATGAAAAGAAGAAAGAATGTTTTACAATAATACAAAATATAAAAAATAATGTTTGCCAGTTTTTGTTAGTTATTTTAAAAATGTTCATTGTTTCTTAAAAACATCCTAATTCATCTAGCAATTTTACATTTTTGTATGGTAGTGTATGTATAATTACATAATTGTAATATTAATAAAAATTCAAATGTATTTTAAAATGTTGCATATAATTGTATATTTAAATAAAGAATTAGAAAACATTTCTAAAAGATGTAAAAGTTTTAATTTGTTATGGTCAATGAAGTTATAGGCCACACAATGATTTTTTTGAAAGTAGAAAAGTACGTAAATCAAAATTTACATTGATATGTATGTTGAAAATGTAAATTATTATATTATTAATATTAAATTGTTTTATTAATAAATTAATTTTTAAATATTATCAAATTAAAAACAACTATATTATACTAAATTTATTATTTGTATTATTATAACTGTACATATAAAATAAGTATATATCTTTTCCTCAAGCATATCAATCTAATTATTCCAATAATTATAATAGGTATATTTCAGGTAAACAACTCTTCATACTGAACCTTTGTTTAGGCACTGCCTTGTATTGGTAATAAATGTTATTATGCACATTTGTGATTAGTAGGATATTGTTTTAACAAGCGTTTAATTACACGTTGATATATTCCTGCATTTCTCCTTTCTTGGGCTTTCAGAAATTCTCGTTTCGCTGCACTAATTTTTAGTTTCCTTCGTTTAATACCTGGTGTATGGACTAAAAAGGCACCATCAAGTATAACTAATCGATAGTTTAGAAGACACATTTCATACATCTAAAAAGAACAGATAATTAAATATTAATATGCAGTGTACTGTATTGTTGTATTAATATAAGGATGCTTGCTACATAATATTGGAAAATAAAGAATAGAAATTTATTAAAAAGCTCATACTACACCTGGGTCATTTTATCTTGTCTGCCTTCCCAAGACATTTCTTCCATGTAAAGTGGATCATTTTGTGTTCCAATAAAAACAGGCTCCCATCTATGATGTGGATATTCTCTTTTTGTAATGATAAGTGGTTTTACTTTGCCTGGATCTGGTCTGAGTAACCACCTAGTGATACCAGGAAATTTTTGGCAATGTGAACAAAGAAACCTATGAAAGATGAACAACTTCATTTTATCCAATCATGATAATGTACTTCTAAATCAGAGTATATTTTAATCTGTACTTGTCAAATTTTAGATGAAAACAAATGAATGCCTTGTAATTTTAGAATCATTACATAATTTTTTGAATTCCAATGAAAAATAAGCTGAACTTGATACTGTTGCTTTAACAATGGACTTAACATTTCAGTATCAATATGTTTTGATTAAAGACTATTTAGCATCACATGTATACTCTTTCAATAACAAATTACAAATTATAATAAATTCATAGTATTACTATGAACTATTCTACAGCAAATTTCACAGTAAAACTATGAATTTATGTTCACGAACCTATGAAAATATACAGCTATACCAGTTTCTATTGCTAAGAGCAATTCCTTTTTCGTTGAAGGTGGTCTCTGATTAGATTCTATCTCAAATACAGGCACCACAAAAACAATTCCAGTTTTTGGTGTTCTACCATGGACAATCTTCATAAAACCAGAGGCTAGTTTATCACTGGGTAACAGTTCAATATCTGATACCAGAACACGAGTAGTATTTGCCTGCATTCTGGCCACATTTCTAGCTACATTAATAGGATAAGTCATAAGTTTCTGTATTCTTTCAGTTTCTGCTCCTCTTCTTTGAAGATCTAATGCAGCACAATTACTATGCTTTCCAGTACTATGCACTGGGCTCAAAACTGGTGGTCGACTCGCCGGAAATACCAGATGAACGGACACCTGCAATAATGTGTTACTAATGTAATATATAATAATTAATTACATCAATTACTATACAAAATAAATATTAATCAAAATTTAAAAAACAATATTGTTAGAATAATAATAGCAATACTAAAAGCTATTAGGTAAATGATAAAGGTATTTCGCGTTTGAAGCAAGAATGATGGTGTGTACAAATGTTTAAAGCGTATGGTGATGCGTTTGCTGCGGATTTAAGGTTTTAGGCGCTCAGCAGTTGTAATAACAATGATAGTGATAGTAATATTAATAGTGGTCACAGTAATTACATTAATTGGAGATGTGGAAAATTATACTTAAAATAAGGATAACAATTTTCATAATAATAGTAACCAAAATAATAATAAGAGTAATTTAAAATTTGGAAGCTGAGATTTAAAAACTGGAATTTAAAAATTCTAAACCATCATGCCATTAGTAAAATAATATTATTATTTATAGTACTGATGATAATAATAAATAATAACAATAATAATAGTAAGGACAATAATTTCAAATGTGAAAGTTTAGATTTGAAAAAAAATTTGAAATACTTCTAGAAGTTACAAAAAAATAATACCAATAATTAATAGTAGTGATAATCATAACAATAGTTTGTGGTCTGATTTCAAAGGAAAGGAGGAGGTGATAATAATATACCAGTATCAATATCAATATCACTATTATTTAAAAAATTACTTTAACGTATTTCATCCGCAGCAAACGCGTTGATCCCAATAACTGAAATGATCATATGGTACAAATCTAATGGTGGTTCTAGCGACTCGTTTTAAGATCGAGTGCATGGAGGAGACCTTGTACATTTCGGGTTCGCATCGGCAGGCCCGATCGAGGAGATTAATGGCGATACCAGCGTCATTGCCAGGCGTGAAAATGGCCAAACTCAATGGTCCCTCCCATCTCCTGGCCAACTCCACAATTCCATAAACCTGATCAGCGGTGGCGTGCGTACAAAGGGTCACCTCGGGCAATTTGTTTCTCCCCTCGGTCCCGCGCAATACGAATGGTAGAATTCTGTAGGGGCTCTTCTCACCGATTTCCGGGCTCCAGATGACTTTGGATGCCGGATATGAAAGAACGCGTGGCAGACCGTGGTACCATCTACAAGAACTATCGTTCCCCGGTTGTAGACCTGCCATGTATGCACCTGGCACGAACGTGGATGCTGCAGGCTGTGTATGGTGTTGCGTGTTCGCTTGTCTTTTCGATATCAGAACGTTGTCGTTACCGATCACTAAAAGAGGCAAGTAAAATACGCGATTGACCCACAAACGGCCAACCAGAGCCAGGAGAAACGTGAGGCTTAACCAAATCAGGAACTTTCGACCGGAACAACGCATTCTTCTCTTGTTTGCACAAGATGCTTCTTTTGATTTGTCGATGATCGTTGATCAGAAAACGGTTTTCCATATTACAGACAAGGTCGATTCATTGAACTTATGTTTCTGCGGTGTACATCCGGAAGAACGAGACCCTCCAGGTACGGATCGATGCGGCGCAGGCGTGTTAAATTTTGATGCAGTTTAATGAAATTTAGAAATTAAACGAAAGAGATTATTATAGTGACGTTTGCAGGGATGTTTGCGAACAATGTTATAAAATATGTAATGTAATTATACAAGGTTTATCGAATTCGAGTTTAATTACTTTATTTGGAAAAATACAAGATATTCTTTGGACAGAAATTATCTGTTCAAAATCAATCCATTTGAAGAGTGAAATTGAGATGTGAAGGACATGAGTCGTTTTAAGGTCACATCTTTGAAGATTTCACGTGCCCATTTTTTTAAATAGAATTATATATTTTTTCAAATATTCTTTGAAAAGATATGAGATTAAATTCCACAACGTATACATATTTCTATTTTCCCAAGTTTCTGTATTCCTCTATTTCTATATTCCTAAATCTTTACATTCTTAATTTCCAATTCCAATATTCCATATTTTCCAATTTCTAAATTTTCCCATGTTTTACATCTTTCTCATTAAAATTTGGTATCCGTATATTTTATTTGTGTAGCGTGTTTTCAGTTCGCTCTACAAAATGCGAAACCCCGGAAACAGGGGGCCCGGGACAGGTGCGTTAGGATCAATATCACGGAAGGGTATGTTTGATCGAAGAAAGTAAGAGTCCCGATTTACAATGAAATGCATTTAAAATCTACGTGATTGATCGCTTGAAGGCTACGTTCTAATTTTAGTTGTGCCGATGGGAAATAGCTTACATTGCTACACCTTTCGCTTAGCATGCAACGCGCCTATCTTCATTTCTACTCGGGGTCAGTAGTTTCTAAATTGTTCGATCGGTTAGAGTCTGCTTAGAAAGGCTCATTATTCTCCTACGTATCAAAGTTGATCGTTTATCTTTATTTCTGTGAATCATGACAATCTGCAAAGTCTATAACAATTATCGGTTGGATAATTACACGGGGTGTTTCTGAAATAGCACGGTAAGGGATTCCTGTTCGAATATCTGTTTACGTGCGGTTTTATTTTCGGAGTTTAGTTTGAAAATTCTTTGTTATACACGGTGCCTAAATGTTTAAGTACATTTTCTAATTCGTTAAACTTAATTTTTTTATAATAACCGAAACATTTAGGGAAGAAAATTTGTTCTGTCGTTGAAAGTTTAGGAGTATAAGTAAAGTGTAGGGGTAAATTGGAAGAGTTTCACTAATAGTTTCACGCCATATATTCTTTTTCTTGGTGAAAAGATTAGAGATAACATTTTCGTTTCAAAACAGCAATAATCAGTTTATTACGAGTAGTTATAAGATATGCTCAAACATTAAGATAATTTTGTTCCGATAAAAATTCAATTGTTTTATATTATCAGTTTGGATCGAAATGGTCACCTTTAATCAAATTTTACATTTGCCTATTTTAATTTAAATTAAAAAGTTGATTGTTGAATTAATATGTAGACATTTTTCTGCACACCCTGTATTTGTAAAACGACAAAAGTATATTTTTAAAAATATTTTTGTCGATTTAATTGTTTAATACTTTAGTAGTGGAACTTGTAAATGAATAGATGTTGTTATCGATCAGTGATTTAATCGAACATGTAATGAGCGTGTACTTATACGTAAGTATGAACATCTTGAAAGATACGAATTAACTAAACGAAAATATTAATACAAGTAATACGTTAAAGTACATTAATTTATATTATTTTACGTTTATATAAAATTACTGTGTAATATCTATTTATTAAATTCATAACAAAATTGATTTTATCATATTTTTTATAAACGAATTTTGTATCAAGAGTTAACTATTTTCAATTTCAATTTTTTCTCCAAATTTCATTATAGATTTTTCATTCAATTTTTCAAGAGGGGACACCTGTACGTAAATAATGATTGTTTGTTGAATTATTTACGTCATATTTTGGTATCAAAGATAAGCTGATAAGTTTAAAGTGGTTCTTATTCTGGATTGAAAATAGCTCTCTTCACGTGGACAAAAATGAACATTAAGAGTGACAAATTGTTTGTTGAAAAAGTCTGGGAATTATATAACAATTTTGTGAAACGTATCTCTAAATAATTTGCAATTTAAATTATCGGGTAATGATTTATCGATGCTTTATGATTAATGAATACATTTTTTAATTATTTTCCTGCTTATGTGAGTGTTTATACTACACTCATACATAAGTATATTATAATTAAAATTGTACTTTTTTAGTTAAATAAAAATATTCGTCAAAATTGTTTAAATAATAGGAAGAATAGTAAAATAGTTTTGCAAAATTCAATTAGTAATTAAAATACTTTAATTAATATTCAAATTTAATTTTTCAATTTATGTTTAAATATTTATTACAGGTCTTATAACCAGCAGGTAGAATTTATCTTGTTAATTGTTAATAAATCGTTTTAACTACATTTGTAATTGTTGATAAAATAGTTAAACTTACTTTTGACATTTAAATTCGAAAATTTAAATTTGTCATCGAAAATTAAAATTGAAAATTAAGAACTTCAAAATTACGAATTTGGAAGTTTTACTTTAAAAAATTAAATTTGAAAACTCTTGTTAACTGAAATGCGTTAAAACATTGAAACACTGAAACTCGTTAAAACATTTATTAACAATAATAAATATTCGTAACTGTAAATAAAAATGAGAACTACTCAAGTGTCACATTTGAAGTTCATAAAGTAACATATTTGACAATCACACGGCATACAGATAGTACAAATATTGTTTTATTAGTTTTACCTTCTCAAGCTATAATTCTAACAATAAGTACTATTTCTTTGACCCATATTCGACGTTCTTGAACTTGTTCTAATGAATCATCATTAAGTGCGAGGTTGAAGGTAAATCAGGTTCTCTACTATTTAATGGCGATTCTCTCTACAACATTTACTTCTAATTAGTTAACTTTCATACGCTGTCAATATAAGAATTCTTCCAATCTTATACAACTCTCTTTATATTGCCGAAGTCAGAGAATTCTTAACACTGATATATTCCATTAATTATCAAAATTGTAAGATTCGAAATTAAATCTGAAATTAGTATATAAATCAGTTTTAAATCATTCAATCATTCGATTTATTATGAATTAACTTTCCACTCATCAGTTTTGCAATCTAATTTACTTTCTTTCACATTGAGGAACTTTCTAATATTTCAAAATTTGCAAAACTGCAAACCTGGTGATATATTTATTTCTGTTGTTAATTATCTCTTGACACTTATTACTTATAACATTTAAGTACACTTTAATAATCCCTCTGTTACACCATAACTTTAAAAATTTTCTTAAAACAGTTCTGACGTCCAACTATATATGAAAGAGCATTCTCAGGAAGATTCTCCAAAGGATCATGCACAAAGAGAAGGAAAATTACAGGTAGTACTATCCTTGAACTTCGAATGAAAGTGAATAGGTTTAAATGGAAAAGCACCGAACATCGTCGCGTAGCAGTTTATAGGCTCGGCGCCCTTGACCTTCGTCGATGGATATACCCCTGTTTCAGCGCCACCAACTCTTGAGGGTGCATCGACGCCTGTTAGTAATGTGGTAAACGTTGAGAAGTGGTCGTTCATTTCCATTGTCCGCGATTGCATGCGTTAATGAAAAAAATGTTGGTCCGAAAACGCGTAAGACGATTGGAATTACTCGACTACAATGCTCTGCTCGTAGGAACTTGGTATATCCGAAATCGAAGGATGACGATCAGCATCGGGTCACAGAGTTCCGTATAAAGATGACTGAACAGCAACGAAACGATAACAAGGAAGACGATGACGATGTGGTTTGCGCGATCGGTATGACTACGAATTTTTTATCGATTGTTTAGAAAAATCGTTTGCGACTACTATTTATATCAAAATGTTGTTACTAAATCTAATTTTATGGGGTTGGACCATCCTTGAAAATTGTCATATTACATCGAAATATAGTACTAAAAAATAATTGGTTTCAATACGAAATTTAATCTAAAACGACGCATAAGTGGTTCATGTAACTGAATAACAATTTTTGTATATCTTAGAGTATGTAAAATGAAGACCTTGTCATCTTGGATCTTAGACCTTAAAAATGACCTAAACCCTTACAACTTATTTTTTCTACCTACCTATTTATTTTTCTGCACTATGCAATAGAAATATGAAAGTATAAATATTAATTGCAAGGATAAGAATTTATGCTTCTCGAGTCCTTAAAAGCAGAATATGAACTTGAATCATCTTTGAACTGAAAACAGTTGACGTAACATGAAACCAAGCTAACAAGATGCATAATCGTTTGTTGGAAATGCCGGTTTAAATAATGTACGCTTTATATCGACCGATCTAGGTACGAAGATCAAATAAGTATCATGGGTCAACGATTAAGGCGACCAAGTTAAAACGCCGAGGTCGCATCCTATACACAAAAAATGCTATATGTGAAAATAAATAATCATGTTATTTGATTATTTCGAAGCAGTAATGCGTTTTTTAACTTTACTGTTTTGGTATTTTATATAAATTTAATAAACAATACTTATGAAATATATATGTGGAAGTTTAGCTTTTTTTAAAGTCATCAATCTTTGGTATTAAAATTTAATAACATTAATATTCGTTACGAATTTTTTAATATTATATTTTTTTCTGAACATACTGGGTGTTGCCTGTAACGCTACTCACGATTTTTCTCCCACTTGCAGCCACCTTACGAAAAAAAGTTTAGAACAATATTTGCAGGGTATGAAGTGCACAATAGATGTAAGTAAAGCAAATTTTGAAAACAGTTTGTTTTCTTGATAAAGTGAAGATCACCTTGGGTTTTTTAAATAGGAACATATATTTTTTTTATTCATAGCTTTAGAGGATGTCGAGACGAATTCAAAGCACATATTACATGATATTTTTATTAACATATTACTCGATATGTTATTACGATATGTAATATCGAATATTGTTCTAAACTTTTTTCGTAAGGTGGCTGCAAGTGGGTGAAAAATCGTGAATAGCGTTACAGTAACACCCTGTACATTGTCGGTTTCTATGATTGGACTATAACATTGCGCCAATTTATGAGCATAAAAGAAAAATTTGTTGAAAGGATATCACAACTTATATTTAGATTGCGGTATTAAAAATAATGATAAATATGAAATCAAATATATTCGAAATTTTTATGAAGATATCGGAAAAAGAAATCGTTGATATGTAACGGGATTTACTTTAATTCAATATATGTTATCTTTCTTAATTAGGAAACGCTTAAAGTACTTCTGTCACTTGATACTCACTTTATCGGTGCTTCTTATCTTTTGTGATTTTTTGGATTAAGAATTAACGTTATCATAGTTTCACAACATTCCAGCTAGTCGCATTAGATACACTTAAAATAAAATTTTATCAATTCGAAAATTACAATTGTTACCTTTAAGCTGGCTTAACCCTTTTAGTGCCGGGCGAAAAACAGGTGTCCAAATTTCACGGTTTTATTAGGTTTTGGGAAAATTCTCATAAAAACCAAACAAGGAACAATATTTACATGATTCAAAAAGAAGGGCAAAATAAAGAACAAAACAATGACACTAGTTTTTTCTATATTCATTGAAAATTATATAAATAACAAAGGTATAAAAAATTATTAAAAAAGGTCAAAGTTGCGTTCCCTCTTACAAAACGTATTTGCACATACAAAAAGTCATCTTTGTATCATAATTTTATATAGACCATTTATCACAAAGTATATACTTTGCATTTCCAATATATTTTGTAACAAGTTAAATAATATTACATAAAAATTAAATAATAACTCGAAGGTTGAGAAAATTATGTTGTCATAAATATATTTGTGCTATAATTTTGCATAATACTTCATTATTATTTTTAATTCTCTCGTAATGAAATTAGATCATTTATAACGTATTATAAATTTATTTTCAAAGAGGGTTCTCCCCCAATGCGAATAGTAAAGCACTACGAGGTGCGGGCCGATATATCGGCTCCCGGCACTAAAAGGGTTAAAGCTTAAAGTTAGCGTTATTTTAATTATATGTACTGTAAAAATATTTTGTTGTATAAACAAAATATTGAAGGTGCACATGAAATACATTTTAGAACATGTGTTGAAGTCTAAAATAAAATAAAATTCAAATTAAAATTGCTCATAAATAAACAGTGAATATAACGTCAATTTAGTGCAATAATTCATACTCAATTTATGCATGCTTTCAAATGACTTAGTATTTTCTGATTTGTTTACAATTTTCTTATGAGATTGCAATTTTTAGGTTATATAACGATTCTATTTTTGAAACGTTCTGTATACGACGGAAAAGTCCGTTTCATAAACAGGGTATCTCAAAAAGGATTTTATAACTTTAAAGATGGAGATTTACCATAATAAACGGAAAAGTGATTCCATTTTTCCAAACAAATGAAAAATTAGCTGATGAACAATATTAACAATAAACTGTAGATTGGTTATTTGTTTTACTTGTTACTTTGTATTAACTAATTAAAATTTTGTATGATAATTTTCTTTTTAATTTTTTTACATTGAAACCGTGTTAAAATTTTTACACGTGAAAATAAAAAATTTAATATATAAAAATATAACAATTTTAGTTTCCCAGAAAGAAAAAATAATTTTTTTTAAAATTAAAAAATATTGAAAAAACATTTATGTAATAATTTTCTTTAAGTTTTAAGCTTCAAATCTATGTGCCATAAGTGCAATATACTTTTATGTCATCAAATCAGAATAAACCTGTTATGTTTCCAACATTTGATATGCATATTGATATTTGATATGTATCAAATCTACTACATGCAATGTACAAGATATATTCACAATCATAGTAAATTTATGAGAAAATTCCTCGTGCAAAAATAAACTGATAATGTACGATAAATTTATCGTCACATGTGTTGGTTTTTATAATAATCCATGTTTGATATTCACTGAATACACGTGTGCTATTTTGATTTAATCTACATTTATCCTCCGAAGAATTACTATTCTTATTTATGATTATATTTGTCAGTTTCGTGACTTCAAATTAATTTAACTTTTATCGATCTTATAATTCTACCTGTGTATCTCGACTGCCAATCGCAATTAACCTTATCAAATGTAAAATATCTATAAAACATTTGTAAAATTTGTAATTCGAGAGATATCACGGTGAGCATAGCCTGTACAGTCCGCGACAAAATTGTAAGAATTAATACAAATTCTTGAATTTTCAAATATTTATCATTTCTATAATTTCAATTTTGGCACTTTTCTATCTTGTAATTTTCCAAAATTCCAATTTTGCTAAATTTTTTGATTCTTAAATTTTTAAATTCCTAGATTCCTAGATTCTCATATTCAAGGTTCTCATATTCCCAAATTCCCAAATTCCCAAATTTCCAAATTTCCATATTTCCATATTTCCAAATTCCTAAATTCCCAAATTTCCACATTTCCAAATTCCTAAATCCCCAAATCCCCAAATTCCCAAATTCCCAAATCCCCAAATTTCTAAATCCCCAAATTCCTAAATCCCCAAACTCCTAAATTCCCAAATTCCCAAATTCTCAAATTCTCAAATTTTCAAATTTCCAAATTCTTAAATCCCCAAATTTCTACATTTCCAAATTCCCAAATTTCCACATTTCCAAATTCCTAAATCCCCAAATTCCCAAATTTCTAAATTCCTAAATCCCCAAATTCCTAAATCCCCAGACTCCTAAATTCTCAAATTCTTAAATCCCCAAATTTCCACATTTCCAAATTCCCAAATTTCCACATTTCCAAATTCCTAGATCCCCAAATTCCCAAATTTCTAAATCCCCAGACTCCTAAATTCCCAAATTCCCAAATTCCCAAATTCCCAAATTTCCAAATTTCCATATTTCCAAATTCCTAAATTCCCAAATTTCCACATTTCCAAATTCCTAAATCCCCAAATCCCCAAATTCCCAAATTCCCAAATCCCCAAATTTCTAAATCCCCAAATTCCTAAATCCCCAAACTCCTAAATTCCCAAATTCCCAAATTCCCAAATTCCCAAATTCCCAAATTTCCAAATCCCCTATTCATCCAAGTTAAAAATTTCCGACTTCCAAATCTAAATTTGCGAAAAATTCGCGCACTAACGAAACTTGTTACCGACACTAAAAATAAATGTACATCAACTCTTGAACGGTTCTGTATTTTTTCCAAGGTTCCCATTGAACGTATTTATAAGTTTCATACAAACATTTATTCAAATGTATGTACGCAGTGATTATAGCTTCGAAGTCTCAAATTAGCTTGTAGCACGTTGATTCTTTAATCTGATAATTATACGCCGACAAAGTTAAAAAAACAATGGCAGTAATTAATCTAGGAATTCATTAAGACTCGCAGTGATTTACTTAAAATAGCGCAAAAACAAAACTACTTCGCAATTGATTTCAAGTTTTGATTCAAGCATGAACTAAAGAAAAAGGAACGAAAACCATAAGTAAATAATGGTTATATTGCTATTTTCCCATTGATTTTTCCATTTTTATATGCAGGATGATTGAAAAATCATTTTCATAATTTTTCAAACACACAGCCACACAAAAAATAAATGAAACTTTCAATTGACTACAAATTGTAGTATCAAAAATTTAAAAAGGAGTGTTACTTCTATGTAAAATAGGAGTTATTTTTTTACAAGATGCATATTTATAATTGCATGCTTGTCGAGACGAATGATTATTGAGGTGAACTCGAACTAAGAAATCGTTACAGATCGCTGGAATATTTGACCTGACTGATTGGTATCAAATAGAGAATCTACTTGTGCAAGCAAATTTTATGTTATCATTCCCTTCGTATAAATAGAAATCTTTAAATTCCAATATGGGATCAGTATGTTACTTTCGACGTTATGTGGAAGTATCTATTCTGTGGAAGAAAAACACAAATCTTTGGAAGAGTCTAAATATGCAGGCTGGTTGAGGTATCAGATGTTATCCTAGTAGAAATAGTAAGAAACTCTGATTTAGGAAGAAAAAATTTTGGGAGAAGCAGATAGTTTGCATTTGCTATTGTTAATGTTATTTTGTAGAACGTGTAATTTTACTTATTTCATCGCCACAATTAATCCGTTTTTCTTTTATTTTTATAATAGTAATCTGTTGAACCGAAAGCTAATTTATTGAGCATAGGCAGTTATGTTAGGTGTCAGTACTTGCTCACAGAAAACTATTTTATCATAAGTTATGTAATGAATATCATCGTATCATAATGAGTATTGCTTCAAGCATTTCTAAACAAATGGTCCAAATAGAAGTAAATCTAATTTTATCTAGAATTTAGACAACTTACTGATATATGTATTTCCGGATACAAACTATTCTAACGTACATTCAACAAAGCAAAAAGAAGTGGAATGAAAAAGGCTTTGGATGAAGTGTTCTTATGTTATATCCAAGCATACATACAGTTGGAAAAAATATACATTTGCAACCTTGCAAATTAACATTAAATTAATTTCTATCAATTTTGCAAATTAACCATTACATTAATTTCTATCAACTTCACAAATTAACCATTACACTAGTTTCTATTAAGATTTTGTACACAATTTTACATCTTTTAGCCTGAAAATATTTATACTCTTCTTTAGCTTATCACATTTAAACATTATCAAAAATGAACGTACTGTTCCTTTTATTTTAAATGCATAATTTGTAGCAAATATTACTTTCGTTTAATTGTATGTCAAAGCAAACATGTATTATAGATATATCTACATCGAAGGCTTTACATCATAAGAACCTTCAATACGCTTGGCAATATGCCTCGAAATAAAAATGGCAGTCCATATTTAGATCATTCTTTTACCATGAAAGATGTCGGGTGAAGTTTGTTCGACTATAGGAAAATTGAGATAAATCGTAAAAAAACAATTCTCAATCGAGACCTCACATAGCATAACATACTGGCGCATATTTTTTTATCTTTGTTTTTGTCACTCGGCTTAATGACTAAGATATGCTAGCTTCTTTCCTTATGTTTTATCTAGTTCCAGTATTGTATTCATTCTTGCTGGAAACGTTGCGGTTGTTTTTTTGCTCATGTTTGTATATCACCGCCTTGACCTTACTTACAGTGTTCGCTCGATAAATATCCGATTGAGAGCTCTTCCAAGAAACTGTCTTGCTAGAACTACACATGTGATAAGCTTTTTTATTGTTGACAGACACATCGACAACAGTTTCAGAAGACACTTTTCCACGCTTTAAAACACCAGTGCATTTTCGAAGATGCACAAAATCGGTTGCCATACAAACGATAATTGGGCAACCATTACGATTAAGAGTCTTGCCGTCCATTAAAGACATTGTTGATGAAAATGAAACGAATTCAGGGGATGTCAAAGGATTTTCTAAGATATGGAAGTATCTTAGGTTTCTGGGGAGATTATCGTTATCCCTATTTGGTAAGAAAACCTGATGCCATAGTTGTATTAAATGCTTGCAACCATGAACGTAGATTTTCAGTTAATTTAAGACGAGGGTTGATAAAATTATTTGTTGAATACGTAGCCTAACCGATACTATTTTCATTTTTCCACACTTAAATTACTAACCTGAACGATTAGAGAACCTCTGAGACTCCTAACAGATTTCGTCACTCAATGTTATCGTTTATATTTATCGAACACTATCTAGCTACGCAAAAGTTGAAAAAAATAGTGTCCCAAAACGAAGTTTATCCAAATATCCTACAAATTGTAGGACTGTTCTGGTTCCTCACCACGTGGGCAATCGTCGGCGCCATCGTGTTCTGCGCCATCGAAGGACCACGAGAACGCGAACAAGTCACAAAATTAAAAGATATGCAAAACGAATTAGCGGTTAGTCTAGCCACAGAACTGAGACAATTGCGTACAGAAAAAGAGGAAGATTTAGAACCACTTTGGAGCAACAAAGTACAAAAGTACGTAGAGAAACACGAAGAGTTTCTGTTAAAGGCAGTCAACTCTGGATACGGCGAAAGTGGTGACAATGGGGAACTTTGGACGCTTCCTGGTTGTGTCCTCTTTTCTCTCGCGCTTCTCACTACTCTTGGTAATTTCCATTTATTAAAATGTCGATGATTATATTATAATAGAATGGTAATTTACAGGTTTTGGTGCTCCAGTTCCACGGACGACAATCGGGCGAACGGCGACCGTCATTTTTGCAGCAATTGGGATACCTGCACATTTTCTACTGATTATGAATATTGGTCTTTTATTAGCCGTACGATTACAGAGGTACGCCATATCAAGGAAGTTTGTTGACTACGATCAGTCGGATCCTAAGTATTTGGCACCGATACCGAACTGGGTTAAGATAGTACCATTCGTTTTTGGAGGTAACTGAAACTATATTAAATATTTTAATATTTTTAGCTTATTTCCTGATTTTTCTTAGAACCTTCTTGGTACCCAAGTTTCCCTAGTTTTTCTTAGAACCTAATCTATCTCTAGGTCTTTCCCAGGTACCCCTAACTCTGCCTGAAACCCAAACTGCTCTAGAATTTAAACTTTGTCTAGGACCTATGCTTTCAGTAGAACCTAGGTAACCTTAGCTCTGCCTAAAACCCAAGCTCTACTAGGATTTAAATTTTCTCTGGAACCTATGCTCTCAATAGGACTCAGATACCCCTAACATTCCATAAATCCCAAACTCTGATAGAATTTATACTCTCTTTGGGACCTACGCTCTCAATAGTACCTAGATACCCAGTTTTCCCTAAAACCCAAACTGTCCTAGAATTTAAACTCTATCTAAGACATAGGATCTCTATAGAATCTGCGTACCTCCAAATTTCTCTGAAACCCAAACTCCTCTAGAATCTAAGATAAATGGAATTTTGAATCTTAGCTAGGACCTAAATTTTCTCATCTCTGACTACAACTTAAACTCTATTATATAAGCCCCTCCTAGGACATAGGCCATCTCTAGACGTAGGCTCTCTCTAGAACCCCAGACCTTCAAGCTCTCCCTACAATATAAAGTCTTCTTAGAATCTAAATCTTTCCTACAATTCAAACCTTCCCCAGAATTTAGAACGTTCTCTAGCTTCTTGACACTTCTTAAACTCTAAATTCTGCATGAAACCTACATTTTTCTCAAAACCGAAAACAATTGATGGGAAATTTCTCCCTTCACCATTACCTATAACCAAAATCACCATACATTGCATCGAGATGTATGCAGTCAGTTCTTGAAACGTTGCATTATGGACGCATCAGCGATGCGTATCGAAGCGGAGCTTGCTCCATGCCTCGGTGTTCGTGCACGGAGCGTACAGTAAACGTTGCGTCACGTCGCATCAATTACGTGTATGACGAATGATGATGAGGACACATTACTCGCTATATTTGATGTATATTAGAGTACTGTATGTTGTAAGAGACATTTGCAGAAGCTATAAAAGAGATTATAGCTATAAAAGATGATATGACAAAATGTTTCGTATTAGATAATTACATTCATGTTTACATTTCCAAATAGATTTTTTTTGCAAATGTTATGAGGGTTTTTGAAATTGGATTTTGTCCAAAATTGAACTACACAAAAATGTTATACTTTGGTCATAGAATTAGTACATAGTATTGTACTGTGAGGCATTCCGTATGTATTGGGCGTCATGGCGACCGTGACGCGACGCAAGCGTGACGTTAACGCTCCGAAGACGGTCAACTATTGCTTTATATCGCCTTCTAGAACGGAAACGACAGTAATACAACTCTGTGGACGAACGGCCTTAGAATTGCAATAAAGTTCGGAGATACAATTTTATAGTACAGACATACTCTTAGCAAACATTAAAACTCCTTTAACTGTTAAACTCTGAACGCTTCGTAGCTCACATGACCATACGTGCTGATTTTATCAGTTCAGTATTTTAAACACCTATTTATACTAATTAAATAATTTTGAGATTATACGAATCTACTGAATAATGCAAATACTAACTTTTAGAATTTTATTTTAGTGACTGTTATGTTCTAAAATTATTTTCTTTTTTCAATTTTTATTTTTGTTTAAAATGAACTTACAACTAATTATTTTTATAAGATACTAATGTGGAAACATTTTGATTCATATTTTTTTTGCTTGGCTGCACTAAAAGGCTACACATAAATATTGATTTAATTTTATTATGACTAATCGCTGTACTGATTTCACCAATTTTTGTATTTTACAATGAAAACAAATGGTCACCCTATATATCATCACTAAATACATTGGATCACGAAATAGTAACGCTACCTCAGAATTCCAACAGGCGGTCGGTCACGACAGCTGTTTAAAGGTCCCTTTATATCGAACGTGTCAGACGCGTAACGTTGCAGGCACGACCAATATTTCCCGCCTCAAATCACTCATATATTTAAAAGCAAGTTATAATCAATTTCTAGCATATGAAAAATTTAAAAGATACTGCTAAACACGATTATAAATTGTATTCGTGAAACAGAATTATTGTAAGCGATAAAAAAACTCCAATTTACCGCTTAGTAATTGTTAAAATTTAAATTACCCACCAAATTCAAATTGTAAAGTGTATATCTACAAAAAATTCTAATATACTTTCCTAATTTGTAAAACATTTTAAAAGCTTATAATTATACTTTATAAATATAATTATTAAATATGTAATTATTAATTATATTTATGAAGCATAATTGTTTCAAGTACAACAGAAACTTCAATTCAACGTTTAACAGTTGTCGAGGTTCAACTTTTCCGCCAATTTCGAATTTCGAGGTTAGGATGCGTATATACAGCAAATTTAGTTGTTCATTGTAGAAAACCTTGACAGAATTTTACAATATACTGCATAGAAATATTTCTTAATAGGTTTGCTATCGCTGTCCCGATATCGTGTACTTGAGAATTATGGCACACAATTTTAAGTGTTAATACCTTTTTCTACGAAAACTTTCATGTTTAACGTAACACAGAGACAATAGTAATACATTCTTGCGAATAGTATTCTGCTTGTAAGCAATTATTGTTTGCATACATAACATTCAGAGGTTATGTGCTTCGTTTCCTATACACAATAACTGACGCACACTTATTTGCCTGGCTATGTAAAGAATAATTATTCTTATTACATGACTGTTTATGAGAAATCTTACTTATCGACGAATGCAAACGTGTTTGATGTTGTACGCAGATAGAGAGGGGGAACCCCAGAACGAACTTGGCCATTTTTGGTTCACTACAGACATCGAACGTGTCAGACGCGTAGCGTAGCAGACATAACAAATATTCCTTGCTACTTCATCTAATAAGAGCGTCCATATTTAACGTAACGTAGCAGACCCGCCCCGTGCCAACACGACATTCTTGCGGAGAGTATTGTGTCTGTGCTGGTACGTGTCTGTGCTTGTTTGTCCCCGTTTATGTGGTCAGTGCGAATACTAATCCTGAACCGTACAGGCACGGTCGTCGAAATATTTTTGTGTAAAACGTTACATAGTAACAATGGATAATTTAACATTAATAGACTTAGTTAAAGAATATACGTTTCTGTATGATCCAACTAATAAGTGGTATAGTGACAATCAAAAGAAGGATATAGCATGGAAGGAAATTTCAAAGAAGCTTAGAGTGCAAGGTAAGTATTTTTTTTTATTAATTTAATTATTTTTATTATCTATATTAATAAATTAAAAAATATTGAGAACTTTTTCCTTTATCCTCCTTTCGATTTGTTTCTTATATTTCGTGGCGAAATAGTAGTGTTGCATTTCAAAAATAAATCCCGCCAAATTTGATAAAATGCAACGAAAGTTGTCATTACAAAATTCGGAGCTTTCAGAATAAATAACGTTTGCTAAGTAAATGTGGGTCCAGTAATTCCTATTTTTAAAGTTGTAAATAATATTTTGTCCCGATTAAAGCAAACGGCTCTCTCGGTTCGGAGCTATCGCGCTACATAAAAACAATGGATTATCTTACCACTTCCTCTTTTTGTGATTATAGAAGATTTCCACCGCGCGCCCATTTTCAAACAAGTTTTCTGCGTGCATCTATAATTAAAGACATGATATGAAAAAAAAGCGTTTGATCTAAAGTATATAGTATCAAAATTTTAGTACGTACCTTCAAAATATATCGTCGCGTGCAAAAGGGAAAGTGTAGGAGAAAAATGTCTTACTGGTCTAATTCGTTATTTATCATTCGCTCTATATACAGGAATGGAAATAAACTCCAGAGTAATATTTTTAATTCATTTTTCGAAAATTAACAAAATGTCACAAATATGTATGCTGCCAACATTTAGTACTGAAAATGCATAGACTGTATGGCCAATATTAAAGTATTTATACACAGAGAGATTATATACAAAAATAAATTCGCCTGAAGTCTTCCTAAGATCTCTCTGGTTCTCCCTGTATTTTACCAAGACTGAGGAGCAACTAATGAGAGACTTATCTCTTTACACTTATCCTTATTTAAGGATCGCCGGTTTCTTCTTACAATCATTCTTCCGTGCAGCGTCCTTTCGTCGTTAACAATATCATATGATCTTAGGCGGCCATGACAGACTAACGTTGTCCTTGTTCATCCGCGTCTTTATATCATGGTATTGGTGAAGAAACGTCCATGTGTATAGAAGATGGAGACTCCAGTAGTTCAAAACCTACAAACAAAATAATATTATTAGTATAAATAATATTAAATAATATTATTAAATATTAAATATTATAATAATATTAGATATTATTATTATTATTTTGTTTCAGAACAGGACTGCAGAAAAACTTGGGCTTTGCTACGAGACTCTTTCAGACGTGCCATCAAAAAACAGAAAAAGAACAGCCAAGCAAATATGATGTGCAAGAAATGGAAGTATCAAGATGAGATGTCTTTTCTAATACCGTTTATGAAAGAAAGATCCAGTTTATGTGTATTGTCATCTCCAGTTGACGATGACAATGATTTCGATGTTACGTTAGACAATGAAACTTCGATACCTTTAATCGACTATAAACCTGACAGAGTATCCACGGACAATGATCCATTTAATCTAAATAGTACAAGATCTACGATTCGTCCGGCTAAGCGCCAACGAAATAATTCTCTCAAAAATTCTTCAACCGAGGAAACGTCTGCGTTACTAATGAAATTCATAGCGGACAATAAAAGGAACTGTGACGACATTGAACAATTCTTCGTTAGTATGGCCACAACAGTGAGATCGTTTCCGCCGCGAGAAAGAGCCGTAGCCAAAGCTAAGGTGTTTGAACTTATATCCAAAATGGAGATAGATATTCTGAGCAGTCCTTCCACTTCGCATAATCAATCTGCGATGCCCTTCTAATAGAACAAGTATAGGAAGCGACTTCCTATTTAACACACAAGCTGATGACCTTTCCATCGTGGATATTTTTTATCAGCAACACTTGATCTAGTTGCATGGAGCACCCTGTACATTACATATCTCGTTGAACTAATGTGGAATATCGGAACCTCCAGAGAGGAACCGTGAAGAAAGTGATTACGGGTAGACGTGGTAGAGTAGCGAGTAACATAGTCAGCTGCTACTCTGAACGTCCTGGTTTAAATCCCGGGGGGATCCATTTTACGGATCCTACATTAATCACATTTTTATACGACGGAATATTGTTTTTTATACATAGAAATATATCTTAAATATTTTTAAGAAACAGGTAGTTTTTCTTATGGTGACTACCCCTTTAAGGAATATGTTCGACCTTGAATCTGCGATTCCTTGGGACCTTCATAGAAGTTCTTGCCAGTGTCATCCTAGGTACTATGTAGGCTCTTCCAGAATCTGGACTCTCTATACTCTCCTTAGATTCTATGTAGATTTACTTTGAGCTCACAGTAGCTTCTATGTAGGCTCTTCCAGAATCTGGACTCTCTATACTCTCCCTAAATTTTATGTAGATTTACCTTCAGCTCACAGTAGCTTCTATGTAGGCTTTCATGAATGTTCCTAGGTTCTACATGCACTCTTCCTGGGATTCAGATTCTTTCTGAGCATTTCCTAGTTCTAGAGAACCAAGGTCCTTACACATTCTTTAGATTTGTATACATACAGACACTCATGATCCCTTATGCTCTGTGCAGGCTTTTCCTATAATCTCCTTATCTCCCCATGTTCCTGTAATTTTTATACTTGAAATTTTATACTTAAAATTTAATTACAAACGTCGTACAAATTAAAAATATTTGTATTACTTTTAACTGCAGCCAGCTACTATCTGATGGGGATTCTATGTTTTGGAGTAGCCAGATCCAGGCCAATTGCAGCAAGTGTTCTATTTCCTCTAGATTTCACGGCTGCCGGTGGTCTTTCAACTATAGTTGGCCATATGCGAATATTGTATGGACTTTATCTCGAAGGTGCAGTTACAGTTGCAGCCTTTGCGGTTGCTGTGTTGCGTGTATCGGCTACACAAAATTTGACCAATATCGGCCTCAAATATGGCCTTCTAGTCGAAGCTTAATAATTTTTACCTTTTGTACCTTAGTCTTTCTTTTGTTATAATAACATTAAAGGTCAATAATCCGAGAACTGGAGATTCTTTTTGATAATCTGCTGTTCTCGTATTATACGACTTTCCTATTTATACAAAAATTATAATCGTGTTGGATAGAATTAATTACAGTATGAAGACTATGTTTCATCTTTCATTTAATCTAATAATTTTCAACGAAGTTTTGGATCTCCCAAATCACGTGTCCATCGAAATAGATTATAACAGAAGGTAGATTTTGCCCTATATTCCATCTATTAATCACAAGCTTAATACATTCGATTTTTAAGCATTAGATGCACATATTGCCACTTATCTAAAATATATACGTACTTGAGTTCGAAAGTATTAACGTATTTGAGAGAAAGGATCACGGAATGAGGGAAGTTCGAAACTTCGTTGGACATTATTGATTTAATCCTTTGAGGACCATAAAACTATATAGTGTTCACAAAGGATTTATATGTTAATTGTTATACAAGGTGTTCCATTTAAATTGACCTACTCGAGTATCTTCAAAAATATTGGTAACATAAAAAAATAACTTATAATTCCATTTTAAAGAATGAAGTGACCTTCATATCTTTCGGACATGTCCGCGAAGGTAGCTATTTTCATCATTTGCCTTCTGATACTAACTAATTTTTGTCTAACAGGTATTTTCGAAGATATTTGAATGGCTTAGTTTAAATGGAACAGCCTGTATACTGATTACTCTTAACAAGCCTATATTTGATTGAAACTTTGTTACGTGTTAATAAAAAGTTATACAGTTTAATCACATTTTATCTAACTTATCACCAATATAATTTATATTTTATCAACATAATTTGATCATAACAAATTTTAATAAAGAAGTTAATCAATGAAACACTGTTCTAGTAAAAATATGGCTATGTATATATACTTATTAAATATTTTTAAATGTATACTTCTGTATAGCATAAAGTACAGTCTATTACAACATAGGCTTTTCTGATTTTAAGGGTATATGTAGGGAAAGAATACACTCCCCATATTTGTCTTCATCTTTTATCTATCAAGATAGGAAGTTCTAAGTTACCTCTTTTGACCCTCTAGATTTTATCAACTCTCTCGATGTTTTATTTCTCTCAACTCTTTTTCGGTTATTCTTAGATTTTCCCTAAACTCAATCTTTTTAAAAATTTTTCTTAAACTACTCTTTTCCCCAGATTTTCTTGCAATTCTCCTAAACTTTCCTTTTGATACCTTTAAATCAAAAGAAGCTTATATTGTACTAAACTGTACGTTACTCTATATTACAAAGCGCAAAAGTTCACAAAAGACTTTAAATTATAAATTGTTGTGCAATTTTAGTATTGTTAAAAATAATTTAAGAATTTTTCTGTAATAAAATATGCTTATTCTTTATTGTGATTTAATTCTTATACTATATAATTCGGAATTGATATTTATTAAAGCTTTAATGGAATATACGGCACCTGACATAAACAACATTGTAACTACTTTGTGTTCATGTTAAAGTTATAATGTTGTTCACATCATATGCCAATATATAAATATATTTACTATATGTAATTAAATTTTAAAAAGTAAATAACTCTATTGTATTAAGATCTTTATATTAACTTTTTTTGACTAACATATTAATAAGCATGCTTTACATGTATATATATAAAACATAAGTTCATTAGAACAATGAAAAAGAAGTTCGCACATAATACATTTCAATGAATGTTTAATTATAATTATATCGTTTATTTGTTGGAATAATGATATAACTCAAAAATCATAATTTTGGGAAAAAGAGTTCAAATGTTATTGTTCCATAAGCTCGTTTTTAAAAACTTACTTTTAGAACATTATCAATAAAAAAGTACAATCAAGAACTGTTCTTTCTATGCTAGTATCTTACAAATTATAAGTGTTGAGTTATGTAACTGTTCCATTTAATACACGATATGCAATATTACAATTTTAAACAATTAACATATATTAGTATTTTTATAAGCAATAATATGTATATTTAATAGAATAGTTGATATCAGTTTGTATTGTTAAATCATTATCATCACATTATATCTTTCTATTAAATTATATACATATATATAATAGTACAAAATTTATAAGATAAAAGAATATATAAATTATTACTAAACACTATGTGAAAGAAATAAAGTCCATTACGTTTATCATGTAAACAGATAAATATATTTTTTTTTCACAAAATTGTACTGTAAAATATTAAATAATATTTATACATATACATTTTTTATTTTACCGTATTTGTACTTAAACAAGCTGACACAAACATTAAATATAATTTCACTACAGTTACTTTATAATTCCACAATAACTTATGATTGTTTGGTAACTAAATTAAACTTAGAGTCATTACATTATCATATGAAAAATTTTAAGTGTAAAACATTATAAAAAGGAAAACATTAAATTCAATGCAAAGCTTAAATATTACTGTTACACAAAAAAAGAAAACATTGCAAAAAGGAATAATATTTTTATCACACTATATAAGTTATACCTCTTTTCCCAAGGAACAAAAATCAGTTACTACATCTGTTTTGGACATGTGCTGTTAAGAGTATAAAAAGAAACAAGATGAAAACAGATCATTGAAAGTTTAAGAATAGATAAAACTATATCTATACAAAAAATTATGTGTATCTCACTTGTGCGTGTAATTAAATTAATAAATAATATATAGTGTATTTTTATATTTTCGCATGTGTTCTGTTAAACATATTTAGATCGTAACATTAATACAAAATACTAACAAAAATAATATAAATTTATTTTGGATAGTATGGATTAAAGGATAATGATAAAACAGTAGTAAAGATGTAACGGTTTGCGAAATTTATTACATAAATATTATAGATATCACTGATGTGATACTATAACTATCAGTTTTTGCTTAATATGTGTTTTATTTTAATCAAAGGAGAAATTTTTGTATATATCCGTTAAGCAATAATTCCAATCTACATTTTTAACAAAAACATGGGACTGCAGTCAATCTCATTTGAATGTAAATAATGTCTATAATGTCAATGTATTAAATCCTGTTTAACAACAATTATATTTTTTACTTTGACTTTACTTCTTGTATAGATGTTACAAAGGACTAATTCTAATGAGAAACCTCTAACGTTTGAACTAAAAGTTTAGGACATTTCCCGCCGTCGTAGCGTGTCGTCGTCTTCATCACTCGTACGAGTTTCCTTCATTCTACCTTTATTAAGGGGTACATCTCCTGGACCTGAAGGTTCTGAACTTAAACATTGGTTGTCGGAATCATTTTTATCCCCCAATGCTATTCGTATAGATTCCACCAAATTCAAAGGACCAGTATAACTTTGCTTTGAACCTATAAATAGATAACGTAAGTATTTTAATATACAGTAGCAAATATTAAAATTCATATCATTACTTTATTGCATAAAATTTTGTTACTTTATTTTATAGGCGAAAATAAGTTAGGATCATTGTTGTATGATATACATACAACAACTTTTACAACCTGTCCCAAAGATTCACTCACCTACTTTTAATTTATCCAAATATAGCTTTCTTGATTTTTTTAAGCAGACCGTCATTTTCAACATTTCCTTCATTATCTGCGTAATGTCTCGCTTGAGTTTTTACCTTCGGACCTGCCGTGCCTAGAAAGGGGGGAAATAGTCTAATAATAAAAAGTTAAATACAATAGTGCGTTAAAACAAACACTTTGAGTCTAATTAACCTACTAAACAATGTGTTAATTCTTTTTATAGTTCAAAAAATTTATTTATATGAATACTAATGAAACGCACATATAAATTTTTACATCGTTTATTTAATTAGCAAGGTCAGGTACACGTGAGAAAACTCAAGCGACACACAAGGTTTATGTGATTTTATAAGAAACAAGGGTTATTTAAAATATGTTATTTTTCAGAAATATTGAAATTTAACTTATATAAAAAAAAACATGAGATTTTATACATTTTAGTTTTTCTTTTTTATATAATGTTTAATTAACAGAATCTTCGTTATTATTATTTACCATACTTATTCTTACCATCTGTCTTGTACGTTATGCCATGTATACTCCCGGGTGTATCCTCTTCAAGTTCAGCATAAGCTTGGAGTAATGCCAATTGCTTATCATTTAATTTCTCAGGTATAACAATTTTAATGTGTACATAATGATCTCCGCATCCTGTACCATTCACTTTCTTTATTCCTTTACCATTGAGGCGAATTTTGGTATGGGACGAAGTACCAGGACGAACTTGTATAGTATGATCTTCGTAAACGCCTTCTATTCTTATTGTACCACCAAGCACTGCTTGTGATAATGAAATTTGAGCGTCTGTATGTATATCTGAACCATCTCTGCGAAAGTATTTTGATTTTTCCACGCGGAATGTTATAAATACTTCTTTGTTACCCACAGCCATTCGAATTGTTTGACCATCTTCAACGCCAGCCGGTACTGGGACTATCACTTTCTTACGTTGCACCTATTATTGATAACATTTTTTATGTAGCAAATCTATTATTCAATATATGAATATTATAATTAATATTAAATTTATTTATACCGATTGTCCTTTTCCCTCGCAATCAAGACATGGAAATTTGATAAACATTCGGGTACCATGACAGTAACGGCATGTAGAACGCATTACAAAAGGACCAGTACTAATTGTTTCCATTCCAGTTCCATTACAATATTGACATCTAACTGCTTTTGTTCCTGGTTCACATCTGGACCCTGAACATTTTGGGCAGGTATCTAATACATTTAACTGAACTTCTTTATTTACTCCTCTTGCTGCTTGTGAAAATGTTAAATTCATAACAACCTTAAAAAGAGAAGATTACAATGTTTTATAGAACTTATTGCCGAATGATACACACATGTATGCATACCTCTTGAGCTGCACCAAAACCAAACTTTGATTCAGCAAAATCTTCAAAATCACCAAATGCACTACTTTGAAATCCAGCATCTCCAAATATTTTCCTAAATAAATCTTCTGGATTGACTGAGGATCTGAATTGCCAACTTTGACCAAAATCTTTAGCATGGCCACCACCTTGTCCCATTCCCATCTGTTCTGACGTTGATCCCCACGTATCATATTGTTTTCTTTTAGTATCATCGCTTAACACTTCATAAGCTTCTGAAACCTCTTGGAACTTTTTACTGGCATCTGGATCTCCTTTATTTGTATCAGGATGATACTTTTTAGCCAATTGATAATAAGCTTTCTTAATATCCTTTGCTGATGCATTTTTGGATACACCCAATATTTCATAATAATTACGTTTTAAAAGTTTGCTAGTTAAATGTATTCCTCTTTGAGGTTGAGTTAAATTTCCTAATATACCTGAAATGAAGTGCAATAATACTTGAAGTTGAAAAACATATATTTTTGTTAATAATTTATGGCATATATTATTTAATAACATTTTATAAAATACATCTTTTTTCATGTAATGGACCAATCGATCATATATTGGAATTATTTCAGAAATAATAGAGTAGATTCTTTATTTAAATTAAAAATATTATGTGCAAAAAGCAATACATAAATATTCTAAACAGAAATCTATTATTAGTTATATAATTTAATGATTATAAAGAACAAATATTCTAACAAGAAGGAATATTCAAACTACATCAAAACTCAAACTTGCAATCTAAATTTGGTTGAAAATTTATTATCCGTAGTAAAAAGAAATTAGGAAAATATAAAAATCTACTATTAAGCACTTATAAATTCTAAATTTGAATATAACGATTATAATACAGTATTGAATCAGAAATAATGCATAATTTAATAGAAAATATGGTAAAACATATTCAGCTACTATAAAGGAAAACATAGTATTACATTTTATGCAATATTATAGCAGTAATAATTTTAATGTATTATATGTTATTATTTAGTTAAAATATAGTAGCATTAGCCTTTTAATAACATCTTTGCATCACGTGTTTATGCTTTTGCTTGCCATTATATACTGATTATCTAAGGTCGCCTTCATAAAAATTGATCAACTGATAAAATTATTAATAAAACCATTTAAAATCAACAAGCAAATTATCAGAAAATGTATAATTGAATATATTTTGTAAATTGTAAATTAGAAAAAAATGTTTAAAATATACAGAAGGTATTAAATTAAGAACGAAGTTTAAATGTCTAAAATCTACACTAAAAGACTTATAAACAATGATTACTAGTGAAGCAAAGCGTGAACATGTGTCTTCAAAATGTCAGGTTATGCTCCCTTTCGTAGCTCGTTCATAAAGTTCTGCGCAATAAATAACACGACATTCGAAAGGGAATTAATAATTCGAAATAAGACATATTTGCGAGATATTAAAATACGCTTATTATACACATAAAGCAGAAGAAAATTCAAATTATTAGAAAAAGCATGATGTAATCTGTACTTTTCATAAGTAGAGATGTACATTACATTTTTCTGTTTTTCTTGAGTCCCACTTGCCGACACCCAATACTACTGTTGCGATAGATCGGTGACACGTTCTACATTTCTGTACAATACCACATGAAAATTTATTTAAATTACTATTGTTGATTAAATTAATAGTCTTTGGTCGAAAAACTATTGCCAGTCCCTTGCCGGTCGCCATGTTGCATAAGGAACGCATGGCCCTGTGTCACGTGACATCTAGAAAATACCGTGTGCTTTCTAGAAACTAAATTTGTAAAGATATATTATTTACAAATTGAAATAATAAAGAAATATTTATAATTGTTGACATGTCATGAACATTCTATTACAATATTTATTGCATTTTATTGTATTTGTTATTTAGTAAAAAAGCTCGTGATGATCTTTTTCACTATAGCCTAATTTTTCTCCTAAGATATAATAACTACTTCTTCGAACATTGTTCTGTATCATCATAAATAAAAAAATAATACGAGATGGTAAAGTAATAATGCAAAAAGATTAATGTTCAAATTTAACGTTTGACTGTAACATTTCTGTGTTAAATCACGCTCATAAAAGTTTCATTTTAATAAAAAGGCTTTTACGATTATCTAATAACATATTCAAGAAAACATCTCAATATATAATTTGGTCCATTTCGGAAGACGATCACATTGGTTTCAACTTATAAGATATTTTTCAGGATAGAATTTGATACTCGAAAAGGCCTCAGTATGTGCTAAAATTAATTTTTAACATATATCTTGATAAATTTTTACTTCATACGTTTTATAATACAAAATATTTCAAAATAAATTCAAATTTATTTTCGATCTTCAAGACTAGCTTTGCCTCCTGTATTCACAGAAAAATTTCAAGAGTATTAAATAAAATTTTATATTAAAATTAAAATCACCATTTTGTACCAATTTTCGTAAGTGTGCTTTGATTGCCATAAATTGTGTATGCATTAATAAATCGATAGATTCATATTTTTAATTTATAATAAATGGTAAGACGTGCAAAAAAATACTAAGCAAATGTAATACAACTAATATATGTATTGTAATACGAATAAATAAATAAAAATAATTTTGCTTCTTACTTACAAACAAGGTCTTTTTCAATTGCAACGAGTTTATGAATTATTTACGAGACGTCTAATCTTAAAGCTGATATCACTTTCAACGATCCTCATTGTTTCTTTTATTATTGTAACTTCAATAAATTAATACGTGAAAAACATAAAAAGAAAAACTAAAATTACTGGGTAATATCGGCATGTAACTTACATAAGTTAACTTTTATAGTACGATTTTAACGTATCATACAAATACAGGGTGGTCCAAATGTCACTAACGATCATGCAATATTAAGTGAGCGAACGTGCCAAAAGTATAATAAATTTTTTATTTTTTAAGAATACTTGGATCTCTTTAGAAAATAATAATAAAGAGTCTTAGTATTAAGTAACGAATGCCAATTGTATTGAAAATTATTTAATGCGAGTAATTAGGAAATTTTCATTCGATAACCACCGGTTATTTTTTCTATTTGAAATACTAATAAAAGAATACTTCGGAAATACAGAGATTTTATAAATAAATTCTGGATTCTAAAGGATAATAAAAGAAATTAAAGTAGGGTCTCGAATTTTTTTTTTTTACGCGAACTAATTATGTTTTCCCATCATTGTATACCCATAGAAAATTGCCAAAATGTCTATGCTGTGAAGTTTGTATTGCAACAAAAAGGAATTAAAAACAAAAAATTTATTGAAGCGGAAATTTCCTGGGGCGACCATCGAATTCCGATGTCACAAAAAGTGCAACTTCTCAAATTTCTCAATTATCAAATCCCCAAATTCCTACACTTTTAAATATTCAAATCTCCAAATTACCAAATTTTCAAACTTTCAACAATCTACTCCTAAATGTCTATCCGTAATAAGAACATTCGTAACGCGTGTGGCGACCACGTATATAAATTAAAAAATTTTTTAAACTGCTTCGTGACTATTGATCCACCCTAAACAACTTTTAGTTGTTTTGTTTTAAAAATGTTGTATGTATTTTTAATAATAATCGATGTGGAGATGTGAATGATATTACCGTTTAATTGGGTGTTTAAACAGGAAATATTAGTGGTTTAAATGTAAAATTAAATAAATATATGTTTAAAATATTTAACATGTTAGCATAAATTAGAGTTTATGAAAATTTTAAACCAAAAATAATGTTCATCATTGCGGCTATGGATGCTAAACTTTTGTCGTAACAAACGATTTTTTTATCTTAAAACTGTTTTATTTTGAGTTATTGTCTTTATAGTAATTGAATCGTAATGTACAAATACAAACATCTCTTTTTGATGATCTATATTAATTTTACATCCAGCGCCAGAATGATCAATATTTAATTAATATTGTTTTTGGTTCATACATTTTCATAACTTCTTTCATATTAACATATTTTAAACAGTTCATAATATTTATTTGATTTTTCATTTAAACCTCCGATATTTTTTGAGACACCCTTTATTACAATAAGTGCAAGTGTAAATGATGTTATGAAATAATTTAAAATGAAAAAAATATTCGCAATAATACACTATACATATTAATATAAGAAAAAGAAAAGAAATACGTAAAACATGAAAAACTGTCACCTTATAAAACTAATATAACGTTGTGAACATCGAAAAAATCTAAAATAAGAAAATATGTTAAAAATAATGTAGTATAATTATACTATGTATATTTATATTATAAGATACGGTGCACTTGAAATTCTCAGCATTTTAAACAGAATATAAATCTTAATGAAAAATTTATTAGATTTTTTCTTTTTTTTTTACATAAGTTCCCTTTTATAAAACATGCGTAGCATTTTTCGTAATTTTTTAACGGAACTTAAAGCTCGACCATTGTTTATTTAATATTTAATAAGATCTTTTAAACAATATCTAATTTCCAAAATGAAATAAAATGAAAAGAATGTTCAATCATACACATAATCTTTTGGTAAAATTATTATTATTATAAAATTTTTATTTCAAGTAGTATACTATTTCAATCTAACAAATTTTAGCTAGATTTGGAACTGTTCAGATGATACAAATACTTTTTTCTTTCCTTTTCTTCTTATCAGTATTTAATACATAATACAATTTGTAATTCTGAATAAAAATAATGTTTAAATAAGCTTAATATTATATTTCATAGAACAGAATATATTTTTCTCATGCGAATATTCCTTTCTTACAATATTTCTCGCTATTTAAATAATGTTTTGTATGCACAAATCTACACGGCCATTTATCTGGCATTTTATCTGCACTGGCAAATATTTCATTAATAAATGATCTGTTATCATTTACTTCAAATCGCAATTCTTTGCATTGTTAATTGTTAGTACTAATCAAACTAAATCAAAGATTACATATCATAACAAGTCATATATGTACGCAGATTTCTGTCCGCGTTTATCCTTCAATTTTGTATAAATAAAATGTATCGAGATACAGAAAGTACTATTACATATTAATTTTGCTAACAATACATTGCTATGATTAGACTTCTTTTATGATACATACGTGGTACTGCACACTTTTTTTCAAATAACAATACAATGCTCTCTTTCTTGCTCTACAATTAATACATATAGATCACCATTCTTCTCCTTTATCATTAAAATAAATGTTAAATAGTTTAATCTACATTTACAGAAAAGTCTTCTTCCTTCAGCATTGATAATTTCATTTTTCTGCTAACTTAATAAAAGAATGATTGCAAAGTAAAACTTTGAATTCACATAGAATGTCAAGTTATAAATAATTTATATTTACATTTTCACTTTTTCCTTCAAACATGCATATACAGATGCGTATATATACACACGTGCATATATAGCATATCCTCAAAATCTTGGTACAATTAAGATGATTCTATATTGAAAATATAAAATGGTAGTTTCTAGTACAAGGCTTCATTTTTCTATATTTCTATTTTACTTTTTGGATATGATAAAGGGATAGAATAAAATTAGGTACATAATTGCTATTAAAAAATATTTTTTTATTCAGTATCATTGGAAATATTTAGCGTGGAAACTTAACATGTCCACCATAAATAAAAATCAATATTTTTCAGGCAAAGTCTATTGGGTCCAATATACCCTACAAACATTCAGTCATTTTTATTGGAAATGAAGCCTAGTATGAAACAAATATTATTCTACATTTTCAATCGTACCACACATCAGGAAAATCCTGCACAAACTATACACATCTTTGTATGTATGTATACACACACATGTGCGCGCGTGCACAATACACATATTCAGGTTCACACATCCACTCTTATTGTATATGTACATATGTATATAATTTAAACAAGATTCATACGACTCTTTGAATAGATTAATGTATTAATTTATATACAATGCGCAGCAATAATATGCTGATCCGTTTAATTTCTGATCACAAATTTGTACAAATTTTGTTTGTACATATTATATTGGTCACCTATTCTATAAATATTTATTTATCTTTTTATTCTTAGCAATACATGAGACGCCCCGGGTTTCTTTTTTTTTATAGCAAAATAATCTTTGCGATTCAATATTAGAAAGTGCTTTTAGATAATAAATACTACCTTTGTAGTTTAATTTTCTTGCTAAGACTAATTACGTGTACAATTGCATGAAAACGATAGCAAATTTTCAATCAGTAACAATTCTAACTGGTCTTTGGATAAAACACGACAATTAATTCTATTCTGGTAATATCTGATATACCTTTCGTTTTATATCATAATTTATGTATTGATACGCGTCTCATATTTCTGTAAATTCGGATGTACAGTGTAAATTCATTACAGTGCAGTCTTGTTACATGGCCCAAGGTAAGAGTTCCCCTTCACATGGACATATAGAAATTAAAAGACTTCAGATTTACAGAATTTCAAATTTAAAAGTTTAGAGACTTCAAATTTTTAAATTTAGAAGTTCTAAATTTTGGTTAACTGGGCTGTGACAATCAAATGCTATGTAGGAATTAAAATTACATAGTTCATTCCATAATTTTGTCTACCTCTACAGCCCTATCCAAAACCATATAGCAAGACTCCGCTGTACAATCAAATCAGTTATAGTCCATGCACTCAAGACGGTCAGCGTATAAGCTCGACTGTGCGGACTTTTTATTTTTAACCTAACAAGTAGATTGTACTACGACTTAAAATAATGTTCACCTTTTCACGTTGACACAACAGTACTTGTCGTCGTCGATTGAGCCACTGTTGTCATTGTCATTAAAGTCAATGTACTACCAACAGCACTTTGCTCTGAAGTTCCTGGGACAATGTCCTTTTCAACGCACATTTTCTTCGGTTCTTTGTGTTCATCAGATGAACTTGACTTCCTTTTATGATTCGAACTCGACGAATGAGAACGACTTAATGTTGAATCAGACGAGCGACTACTAGAAGACTTCTTCTGTCCATCCCTACTATGGCTATGGTGACTGTCTCTTCTTTTTTCAGATTTCCTCTCACTGTCTTTATTATCTGAACGATCAACACTTTTATTAGAAACATTATAATCTCTAGATACTGAAATAATTTTCAATGTATTTCCTTTATTACTATTTTCTCCTGTTTTGTTGTCAGATTTGCTCGATTGCGGACTACGATAATGATGCCTCTTATGATCCTTGTCACGTCTATCTCTATCTCTTTTGTCTTTATGTCGTTGATTCCTTGAACTTTTATCATCTCTATGCTTCCTCTTAGATTCTGAATGTATTGTATGTGTATCCGACGAAAATTTCGATGAATTCTCATCGCTGCTGCCATTCCTGCCATTGCTACTATGTCTTTCAGTTTCTGTTGATGCAGACGTAGATGTGATCGAAGAACAAGAAGAAGAACTAGCTATTTTTGATACTGGTATTGAACTTTCTTCACACGAATTATCAACAGTTGATGTGCAAATTTTTTCATTCTTTGCTCTCTCTTTTGCTTCATCCTCAGCCATTTCAATTAGTGCTTTCACTGCATTCTCAGTAGCACACTCCATCTTTGACGTGAAGGCCAATGTAGTTTCTACCTCCAATAATTGACAATATCGTTCCACTTTTGTTGTATCATCTTTGTACTTTCGTTCGGCAATTTCAAAACTTTCTTTGTGAATTTTTTCCAGAACTTCTTTTGAAGCTTCTGCAACACCAATTCGCAGAGACTGACAGACTTCCTCCACGTCAGTTTTTGACTTGTATATTGCAATTTCCAAAGCTTTATCGACAACTTCTGTTGCATACGTTTTTGCAATTATTTGTTGCTGTGTTAATACATCTTGGTCAAGAATAATAGTATTGCAATCAGAAATGTCATGGTCTGATGAACAAAGCTCCGATGGACTTAACTGCTTTTTACTCTCTTTCGAAGAAGATCCTGAGATGTCGAATTTATTAATGGATTTAGATTCAAGAATGTTTGAAATGCTTTCTTTAACCGATGCACTATTGCTGCTAGACCGACCGTGATGACTTCGATGATGATCTACTTTATGATTATTACAATCATACTTCTTCTTGTCCCCAGAATGACTGCTGTGAGAATGATGACTGGACTTTTCATTAGATCGTTGACGATCATCGTGTTTTCTATCAGATCTTTTGTCATCCCGCTTCTCACTACTTCGTTTCCGTTCTCTTGAACTGTTTTTGGTACATTTATTATTAAAAAGGCTCGAACAGTTATCATTATTCCCTCCAGAACTCTTTCTCTTGCTCGAAATGGAAGAATGTCTTGTGTGATCCCTACTTTTGCGTTCTTCCTTGCGTTTTCCGTGTTGGTCTGATTTTTTTAAATTTCCCTGATATTCAGCAGCTCTTTCCTTTGCTTTTTTCTCTTCGAGGGAGTCAATAGAATGTTTTTGATCCACACGTTGACGATTCGTATTTTCTTTCTGCTCGTCTCCTATATTTACAGTTTCCAAAGGTTTCTTATCTTTCATGCGCAATGGTTCGCTTCCAACACGGCTGTGTCTGACACTCGAATTGTGCTGTGATTCTGGGTAATACTGTTTTAATCTGACATGCCATGCTATGCTCGAAACTGCGGAGACTGTTCTGAATTGATGAATTATATTACGCGGTAAAAAGTAAATGTCGTTGTCGTATAAATTTATTCTAGCGTAGCGAATACCCTGTCTACGTAATTGATTTAACTTGGCGTCTTCAACCCACTGCACGCATTGGGATATCGGTGGTTCGTGGAGGTCTAGCTGTAATTTTTCAACCAGTTCAGGAAAATCACCAGCATAGAAAGCTACGACATCTTTTGTAATTCTGTTATATTCTGACGGTTGTCCACCATGGACAGCCTTGAGTACACCAACTGCGGCTGTTGTCATTCTGTCTAATCCATGACCTACGTGATCGGCATGAGCCTTTGTACGATCTTCAAACATGTATTCGCGAGCTTCGCTGAGACGTGGTAAATATTGCAAATTTCGTAATTCATTAATGCCCGTTCTACGTCTCTTGCATGGACTTTTGTTTATGTCCGCTGTGGGGACTAGCTGCTCGCCTGGTCTAATCCATAAAATTGGACCGTCGTTTGATTCTTGAGGAGTGTCCATCTTTACAACAGATAATGGTCCCCAAGGCATAGTCTATAACAAAAAACAACGAAGGATATTAGTAGAGTTATTTCTATATATTTGCACTCTATGCCTTACAGCTGTATAAAAATTTTTCATTTGTATTTACCAGTTTTAAAAATTGATTTTCTTCTAATTTTTGCAGAAGATCTGGGAAATATCCACCAACTTCCTCATGAACTGTTCCTACAAGGCTTATTTGGTGGAGAGGTCCATACCTCACAGTACCATTATTGTACGCTTTACAAACTTGTTCTTTGTATTGAACCATGGTTGTAGTTTCTATATCACTGCTTCTTCCTAACACACCATTTTTAACAGTTAATGTAGGGTAATTATCTGCCATGTAATCCAAAAGATCAGGAAGATATGCAGCAGCATTATGTACTATTCCCATAACATGATGTGCATAACCGTTTTCATCTTCACCAAAAACTACCTGTAATATCGAAACTGTTTTCTTTATTTGCTTATTATAAATTGATAAGATTGACGCCGTTCTAAAATAGTTATAATGTACTATGTTTATCAAACTCAATTCACTTATGAATTAAAATCCAACTATAACTTCAAATAATTATAGTGAAAGTAGCAATTTTATATTTACGTACTCTGAAATATTCTTGAGCTAATTCTTCTATTTGTTCACGTGATAACGTATCAATTTCATCTTGATACATATGCACAACAGTTGCACCACCATTAGGATAAGTTTCTATGTGTATGTACTTCTTGTACTTTAGGCCTTCTAATAATTCATTTTTAACCGGTGCATTGTGTAGCAGTTTATAGTTTTTCGTTTGTAAATTTAACCTGAGATTTTCATTTGTAGATTTTGGAAATGCTTGAGATATTGTTTTACTACTTAGAGAAACAATACTACGATCTCGTTTACACTGTACACCGATATTTGCTCGCTTTATTTTACTTCTCTTATAGCATCGTGAACAGTAGCGTCTTTCACTGTGCTCCTTGCTACGCTTTTCTCTCGACGACGAGTACGATTTAGAATGTGAATTTGAAGAAGTAGGGTCAACACAATTTATTGGTTTATCATTGGACAATACAGTATCTGTATGTCCACCTATTGTCATAGGTACATTATCACTAGCCCACTCAGATTTAAGTATATTTAATTGTTCTGGAGAATCTGTCAATTCTGTTTTAATTTCAACAACTTCTGATTTTACTTCTCTGTGGATAATATCTATTTGTTTATCTGTTTTCTCTTCTTCGTTTGATTTTATTTGTTTAACAGGAACTTGTTCTTCAACCTTTTCTAACTGTCCACAAAATGAGTAAGACAGATTGTTATTAACTTTAGTACTTAAATTATTTGTATTTTCAGCATCATATTTTGCTGTATCCATCACAATCGTTGAAATCATAATTGGTGATGTCATACTACTTGGTAGTGTAGTATTTGGACTATTTGGGCTATCAGAAACTCTTGGAGGATAATCTGGACTCCTTGGGCTGCTAATCATTTCACCACTACTTTGGGGACTCTCTCCTAACTGAGGTGTATTACCGTGTTCAAAATTTATACATCCTTCCAGTTTTGTTGGTAATGTGGGTATCCCACTAGATACTGTTGCATCTTTGTTGCATGTTGGATCAATCTAATACATAAATAAATATGATCTATATGTTGTTGTCAAAATTTTATGAATTTGATATTATAACTTTACATCATTCTTTGTAAATACATACATGAACAGCATGTTGAACTGGTTCTATCAAAGTTTTCCTTAATTCATTGTTGCAATAATCTGGATTCCCTGTAATATATAATGTTACCTTCATAACATTAATTTATATAGCTAGAATAATATGATTTAATGAATAATTTAATATTTGTTTACTATATTCTTTAAATAAAACAAATGTTAATAAATATCATAATAAATAAATACATAAAATTGTAATTATCTTTATATGTTTCAAATTTCTACATAAATTCATTACAAAAGTAGTTTAAATACAATTTACTTTGGTAATACAATGACACCATAATTGTTCGATATCCACGAAAAGAAAATAATTTTTTTAACAACAACGTAGTACATTATAATGAAAAGAATTATCTTGTTGTGGTATACAATTTTAATTATTACAATTTATTCAAGTATTAGTTTGAAAGAGTAAGTCGTTTATGTGAGTAAACTCAGTAGAAAGAATGAATTCGATAATAAACTGACAATTACATGTATTTTTATATTGAATTTATGATGAATATAAATGCTTCTCCTGTATACATATATACAATACAGATATAGATATACATATACATTAAGAATTTACTATTTTAATATGTTATTTGCCACTGAATGTTGTTAAATCAATTTCAATTATATTCAATGTTTTGTCTGCATTACAAATAATGTTACATAAACATTAAAATATTATGCCTACTGAATTAATTGTAAACAATATCATCACCTATACAAATATCAACATAAATTTAATACATGTATAGTTTCTGTCAAGTTTTAAGCACATTTTGCATAAAAATACAAATATTTGTTTAACACTGAATAACACTAAAAGATATTACCGTCTGGCTGGTCAGAAACACAGGCAACACTATCCAGATCATTCTTCTGACTGGACATATTGTGTGCCTCCAAGGGTAATATATGTAATTTAGCGTTGACAGCAGGTTTGAAAGTTGTATGTTCTTCCACATCACCAGAGGAGCTCATGAAATTTATATTTTTTTGTAATTCCTTTTCTTCCGTGTTTGCGTTAAACGATGACGCTGTAGAGAAAATCGTGGGCGTCTTAATCGAATGTAAAGCAAGATCGTTCGAAAAATCGCTTGTCTCTTTAATAACACTGTTCCACGTTGTTCTGGCCACTTTTAAACTGGTTGTTTCCGTTTGTATCGGTTCAAATACTTGCTGAATCGTGTTATTTACATCACATCGTTCATTTGACACAATACTCGTACCAGTTTCGGATGCCATCTTGATTCTGTGAGCAATGTCCTGAACATAACGATACTACGCGACATTTGATTGGATATTTCTTAGCCGCCTTTCGAATAGACCTTATTCTATTCGTCTAAAATTGGATGAAGAGTGGGGGTAAAACCAGTAAATATAGAGGTACCATGGACATTTTTATTCGTCGCAATCTTCTACCCCCAATCTTGTTTCCTTCGTAATTTTTTGATTATAAAAGAACATAATTTTTTACAATTCTTAGGTTATACAATGCATAATTACAAACATTTCAAATTACACTGTTAATCATATTTTACAAAAGTTCGTAAATTTATAAAATAAATATGCGAAAAAATTAATTATTGAGGGATATTCATAAGAATATTTAATTTCTTTAAAACATATATACATGTTTATTTCTTTCTAAAAGTTGAATTGAGATATATTCTTAATATATTATACAATCTTAATTAAAAATTCATTTTTTATTTGAAAGCATTATTTCATTGGCTTACAGCATAATTTGCAAGATTAGTTTTTTGTTTCGTTATTAAAGGCTTCTTTGCATATGATACAATAATAAATCGACACCGGTAACTATTCAATATGAAAAGAAAAACAAAATACAGAGTAAATATATGTACTACATTCAGAATACACTCAATTTAAGTCAACATTTTGAATTCAATTCTTGAGTTTTTATTGTCCTTAAATTTTTTTCAAATTTTTCAGTAAAGTGGGCCATAGTCAATAAATTCGGACATCAATTATTTTATACGAAAAAATAACTTTTATTTCGCACTTTTCTGTCTTCTCTTATTAGTATATTTATTAAATTGTCTTGAATGGTTCACACTTACATTGACACAAATGGTACCTAGGTTAAACAAATAAAATTCATTAATTAATTCTGTAACGTGTTGTTTACATACTATAATGTTACAATTCCTTACAACATGGTTGTTGATGAAATGGTCAATAATAATTAATATTTTCATCATAATGTCAATTCGCCGGGAAACGGGAGCGTTTTTGCGCAGCTCACCTGAGCTGAGAAAGCTCCCACGACTTATTCTTTTTCATCAGTCATGTATGTAGTGGACGAAAAGCTTACCAACTCTTATCACATTTTGTGAATTACAGTACATAAATCATTTTGATCACTAAGTATGCAAGCTTTAACGTGTTATATAGTGTTAGCATGCTAAAACCATCAAAGTCAACATGCGCAGAATGAACGAAGCTGTCATTCAACAATTCCATTCTCTCGGTGAATTGTCCATGCAGTAAAACTACAATAATTTTTATTATAATTTCATTAACATAAAAGTGTCCACTTATCGTCAAAATACATTTATTGAGATTTAGGATTAATGATAATTATTTTATACCTGTTTTTCAATGGAGTTTGCAAAAAAAATATCTTGTTTGTAAACGCGCGGGATGATCAGGGCGCAGGCGTAGTCGTATCACAGAATGGAGACGGAATATGGTAACGGGGTCTATGCTAACACCACCATAGTGTTAGTGGCGGGAAATTTATATAACTATATTCAATGGTTATATATAATATTTTGAAAAAATTGCTCAGCTGCTAAAAGATTAATAATAATTAATTTTATTACTGAATATAAAGATTGCATACTTAGATACATAAGCTTTCATCTAATTTAATCCAAAATGCAATATAACTATTGAAAACGTAATAAACTATTAATGACTTTACGAGCTTTTTTGCTAATGAAATACAACTTTTATAATTAATATATTAAGTATGATATTACAAATCAAAAAATTACTTTATAATAAAGTTTTTCGTATTAAATATCATTTATTATTCATCAAGTAAAAAATGTATTTACATTCATATACTTTGAAAATTTTTTCTCAGGATTTATTTCTATACATTATGCTTAGCTGCGAAAGTAGTTTATTTTAATTTTGTTCATTTTATTATAAATACATTATTACCATTATTATTTTTAATACAATATTATTACTTACTTTGTAAATTAAGTTTCAATACAAAACTATAAAGCATAATATTAATTATATATAAATTCTTTTTACTCATTTCAATTTTGACTTTATAAGCCCATCTGTACTGTAACATATCGTCTAACAACAAATGAAATATGCTCTTTAAATTATGTATAACGATGTTTAATATATTACTATATTAAAATTGAAATTAATCCTAACAGCTTTCGAATTTTACTATTATTTATAAGTTTACATTTACAAATACATTATTCATTACCTAAACCAAGTTCAATAATACAGAAACATAACAAAATTTAACTTAATTTTTTTCATAAAAGAAAAAAAAAACAAAAGAATATAATATTTAAATCCTATATCACTTAATTGAATTTTGATTCTTATCACATTGAGACCCAATTGTTCTGTTAAATTCTGTGTCAATTTGAGCATAGCTATATTTGAATATATTATACTTACATTTTTGTAATATTTCTTTTATAATAATTAAATTGTATATAAATGATTATGTTATAAATAATTAAATTATATTACAAGTAATGTTTAAATTATATTATGTTTATTTATCGATATTTATTGTCAATTAAATGGATAAATTTATACATTTAAGCAATTGTTAATGATCTATAAAATGTGTAAATTTATCCATAAGGGTTTCAATGTGGTAAGCAATGTACTTGTTTTGTGGAAACAAGTTTTTATTTTACATATTATGCACTGATATGCTCATAAATGTATAGAAACAAATAGCTGAAGTATAATTTTTACTAATATAGTAAAAGAACTTGATAGAAAATAATCAGAATTGAGAAAGTTATTACAAGCTGAAAGCAATCAGTCACACTTTTTTACATTTACAATTGCAATGGTCCATCATCATGGAATTGTTAGAATGCATTAAATACATGCGACACAATGTACATAATAATTAACTATCTAAAAACTTTTGCTTTAATAAAACACAAAATAGAATCTTTTTACTATATAAAATACCTAAAAAAGAATATACGCTGTGTAAACTGAAAATTTTCAATGTCGTAAGAAATGAAACAGAAGTTCTTTACCAGTTAATAAGTTAAGACGTTGTTTTTAAGATACAAGTAATTAAAAATTGATAACTGCATTATGTAGAGCAACACATGTACATACATAAATACATACATAGCACAAATTGTAAATTCGTTGCAAGACAAGATTAAAGTAATTTATGCACGTTGCTTTACTAAATTCTTAATTACTTAAAGCTGAATAGCGTGCTTCAGAAGTCGATACATATTGTAGAATGATAAAGAACTTTTTGATTTCTGGTGACATAAAAAATCTTCAATTTTTATTTTCAACGTACACTTTTTCTTTTGACACTTTTAATATTACAGTATTACTTTTAACACGTTGATTGCGTTGATGATGCATAGAAAATAGTGTACAATAATAGATTTTAGATTCAATTCAAGACACGATATCCAACATTACTTGCAGTACATAGAAGTCATTTTTGTTTAACGATATATATTAAACAATAAAACTTTTCCGTAATATAATATACTTTGGTTACCACAGATAATATATTCTACACAAAAGTTGATACAAAATAAAATATCGCGAATAATGATAATATTTATTTATACAAAAATTGTTTCCATTCTTAAATTATGTATAATTAATATTAAATATACATAAAATATCTATAAAATTAGATCATTTATGGCACAATAGTTTTCTGAATTAATATAAATATATTACAATTAAGTCTATTTATCATATAATCATTTTCCAATTTCAATGAAATTATTTTTAAATAATTTACTAAGAAAATTCAGTACGAATATAGAAATAAGTTGCAGAAAACATTTCTGATTACTGTATGCGTGTTTAACTTCGTATCTTTTCTGTATTTTTAGGAGAAATTTAAATAATTTCTTTTGCACAAAATTACATACACAATATACATTACATGTATATTAATTTATATCTTTTATCCCAAATTATTTATTCTAATTAAAATTCAATATATGGATTCACAAACATGTCAAATGAGCAGAAAAAAAATAAAATAGATGTGACGTGTAAAATAATTTTTTCATAATTAATTAAGTTTCTAAGTCATTTTACTATAAATATTTGTTTAACAAAAATTCAATAATTATTCTGTAGTTAGTATCATTCTTGTATTTAAAATAACTAGAATGAAATCTTTCATATCTTAATTGTATTGATGCAACATCATTTCCATATATCTTTTACTACAAAAAAAAAGGGAAAAAATCTATTTTTTTTTAGAAATAATGTTACAAAATTCATGTTTAGTATTTATATAAATTTATTTTTATTAGCTATCAACGTGTTAAAATTAAATTATTTGAATCTGTGTAACGATCACAAAAGGTAACATTTTTTTTAAATTAACTGGATTGCACTATCTTTTATCTTCTTACTTTTCTTCTTTACAGCCTTAACTTTCACGATAGTTTTTCCAGCTTTTCCTTTAGCAGATACAGATTTTTCTTTTAATGATTTCATTTGTAACTTCATTTCAGTTTTCGGTAATTTTTTGTTCTTTATACTCTTTACACTGAGCTTGTTGTCCTTTTTAACTTTGGTAGCAGTTTGAATTGCTATACCGGATCTTACACAAGACCCGGGTAGCTTGTACTAGGCAGTAACTTTCACTTTTTTCTTCCTCTTTTTCTTCTTCTTGTCATGATGAAGTTCTTGTTTTTTGGCTATACAATAGCGACAATACCAATCTTCATTGTCTGCTGGTGGCACTTGCATACCAACGCACACCCTAAATGATTTAAAATATAATATTAATTATTACAATGAAAAAATTCTGTACATAACTCTTTTCTTTTTGAAAAATATTTTACTTTTTTTATGTCTATTGTAACAAACAATAGTAACTATATCACAGACTTTATTTATTATTTACTAAAATTAAATATTTTTGAAAAAGGAAAGAATTTTGTGCAGAATTTTCTTTACAAACTAATAAATATAAAATACAATTATGAATTAATTAAGCTTACAACTAAAGTATTTTTATTTTTAAAATACTTTTTGTTATGATTCATTACAATTTTTTAAAGCAATTATAAGATGTTAATATGTCTTCTCTTTCTATATCTCACAAAGCATGTAAGAAAAAAAATATGATAAAATTAACCAACCAAGGTTATTAATTTGCTATTAAACATAAATATATGCAATGTGAAGATATTTATAAAACAAATTAGTTATTCCTACAAATTTTTAATTTTTAATAAGTAATGTTAGTTTTTTACTTACCAATGATACCATGCATCACAATCATCACAACCAACCATTGGTGATCCATCATCCTGGTTGCCACAAGCAGGACATATCCAAACTTGAGTCCCACCTTGGTCCTAAAAGACTCATATTACAATAAAAACACAACATATTTTGCTTCTATTATATTTATGGCTAACCCAACCCATCTCTTGTACCATCAATATATTTTAAAATGTAGAAATATATTGAATAGTGTAAAAATAAATAATTTGTTATGCTTATGCTTGATAAAACTTCATACATCTTATAGTTCATAAAATAATTTACAAACGTTATATTTATTATATGTAGAAATATTTTTATGTAAAACATGTGACAATGTATTAAAACTAAATATTGTAATGCATGATTGATGATACATAAATATGCGAGATGCTTAATAATTATGAAATTACAGAAGGTTTAATGAAGATGAAATGATTCAAAAATTAAATAATTGTAACTATTCTGTAATAGCATGTTATATATCTATCAAGTACTATTACATTCTAGTTGTGGTAATTAAGAATAATGTACGTAAATACATTAAATGATTTACTTTTGATATTATATACATGAATAATAGGGAAGGAATAATACGTTTCATATAAAAATTAAAATTTTGGTTTGTGGTAATTAAATTTTCACTTGGCCCGCAAATAAAAAGGAACATAATAATTTGGCATTTGATGATTTGCTCAAATAAGGACCAAGTTTATTAAATCAGGATTAAAGAGTTATTTCATTTTCCCTATTAAATTTATAGTATTACAATTGCACATTTTATTACAACTGTAATTTTGAGTAACTTGATTTAATTGTTTTATATGCTGTATAAGTACATGTATTATTTTTAAAATTGTAATTAAAAATACACTATAAATAAGTGAAAAGTAAATATTTAGAACAATTATGTATATAAGACAATGCAATGTATAAACATCAAGACATGTATTATATATTAAATTGATAGTAAAAACTTTAAAGATCATTTTAACTTTGGCATGTAATGATTCAATTTAATATTTAGAATATTTTTTAATTATTGTTTAAGTAAATATAGAAATATTTAAGAATTTTATATCAATATGATTAGTTCATTTTAGAAAAACAAAATTGTTATAGTAAAAAATATTATTGTCCTAAAAATTTTAATGTAACAGGTTCCCCCTGCCCATAAAAACTCATAGAATCTAATAACTCTACATTTTATTAGTTAAAATTAGTTTTCTTTTTAAATAACGAATAGTTACCTTAATAAATATATTCTAATTATAGAAAATAATGCTATTATTAGTATTCAACTATATGAAACCATTATGCAAGATCTATATGAAGTCAAGTATCATAATGTAGGTTTTTAAATAT